GGAAGATTACTTTGGCCTAGGATTTCAAGACCAGCCTTGGCAATGTAGTGAGACGCTATTTCTACAAAAAATTTAAAATTAGCAAGACATGGTGGTGTGCACCTGTAGTCCCAGCTACCTGGGGAGCTGAGGTAGGGATACCCTTGAGCCCAGGAAGTCAAGGCTGCAGTGAGCTGTGATCACACCAAAGCACTTCGGTCTGGGTGACAGAGTAAAATTCTGTCTCAAAGATAAATAAGTAAAAATGTAAAAATTGAAATTGACAAGTTGGGAAACTCACCAAGTGGTATACAGCTTTTCACATGTCAATCATACTTCAATAAAGTGGTTTAAAAAGAAGAAATTGACAAGCTGATTCCAAAATTTGTATGACAAGGTAGATGATCTAAATATTTAAAGTAGTGCTGGCTGGGCGGCGCGGTGGCTCATGCCTGTAATCCCAGCACCATGGGAGGCCGAGGTGGGTGGATCACAAGGTCAGGAGATCAAGGCCATCCTGGCCAACATGGTGAAACCCTGTCTCTACTAAAAATACAAAAATTAGCTGGTCATGGTGGCACGTGCCTGTAATCCCAGCTACTCGGGAGCCTGAGGCAGGAGAATTGCTTGAACCTGGGAGGTGGAGGTTGCGATGAGCCAAGATCACACTGCTGCACTCCAGCCTGGCGATAGAGCAAGACTGTGTCTCAAAAATATATATATATAAAAAAATAAAAAATAAAGTAGTGCTTTCCTATAGAATTTTCTGTGTTGATGAAAATATTCTGTAGCTGTACCGTTCAGTATGATAGCTAGCCAAATATGACTTAAAAAGTGGCTAGAGCAACAGGAACTGTTCAGGAATTTTTAGTTTAATTTAAATGTAAAAACTCTCATGTGGCTAGTGGCTATTGTGTTGAACAGTACAGAAAGTAACCCTGAAAATGAAAGGGGTTCATACTACATTATGTTGAAACTTAGTATAAAGCTACAATAATTAAGACAGTGTGCTACTGACATGAGAAAGACAGATTAGTAGAACAGAATGAGAGCTTAGAAATCAATCTACACTTAATGTGATTTATTGATTTTTGACAAAGATGGTAAAGCAGTCCAATACCGCAAGAAATTTTTTAAACTAGTGCTGAAGCAACTCGGTATCCATATGGAATAAAATGAACCTCCAACTCTATTTCATACTATACACAAAAATTAATTCAAAATGGAACATAGACCTAAATGTAAATGAAACAAGTGAAAAGCTTCCAAAAGAAAACGGGGTAGTTGCAGCAGATTTCTTAGAGGGGCAATAAAAGGTAATAACCATGAAAAAATAAGTTGATAAATTAGAATTAATTAAAATTTAATCTCATCAGGCTGGGCATGGTGGCTCACGCCTGTAATCCCAGCACTTTGGGAGGCCAAGGTGGTCAGATCGCTTGAGGTCAGGAGTTCAAGACCAGCCTGGCCAACATGGTGAAACCCCATCTCTATTAAAAATACAAAAATTTGCCAGGCGTGGTGGCAGGCGCCTATAATCCCAGCTACTCAGGAGGCTGAGGCAGGAGAATTACTTGAACCCGGTAGGCAGAGGCTGCAGTGGACCAAGATTGCACCACTGCACTCCAGCCTGGGTGACAGAGGGAGACTCTGTCTCAAAAATAAAAAATAAAAATAAAAGAAGTAAAAATTCTTATCAAAGGCAAGACTGAGAAAATGCAAAGGCAGGCCACAGACTTCAAGAAAATCATATATCTGATGAGAGTTGATTGTTAGCATATAAAAAGATCTCCTACAACTTATTGATTTAAAAAGACAACCCAGTTTGGAAGTGGTCAAAAGATTTGAATAGATTCTTCACAAAGAAGATATACCAATGCCCAGTAACACAATATTAGTCATCTGGGAAATGCAAATTAAAACCGAAATGAGATATCACTACACATCTTCCAGCGTGGCTGAAAAGATTGACAGTCCTGAATGAGGTCTATAATTGGACAGTTGGGTGGAAAAACTGAAACTGTCACACTTTGTTGGAAGTATAAAATTGTACATCCATTTTAGGAAAAGATTTGTCAGTTTCTTACACAGCTGAACTTATGACCACCATATGACCCAGCAATTCCACTCTTAGGTAGTTACCCAAAAGAGGTGAAAACATATCCACAAAACTATTTGTACAAGAATATTCATAGATTCTATCTAACTGTCATGTAAACAAACTCATATAATCAGAAAGTGGAATTAATGTGATTTACTGGCTCAATTTTCCTGGGTCTGAGTTTTCCAGGATGTGGGACTTCAGGTGCTAAAACCAGAAAACCCCTAAGCAAATCAGGAAGACTTGGTCACTGTCATTATCCTCTCAGCAATAAAAACAACTAACTCCTGATAGATACATCCAAAAACAAGGATGAACCTCAAAAACATTCTGCAGAATGAATGAAACATACAAGAGTTCATATTCTATGATGCCACTTACATGAACTTCTATAGCAGGTAGAACTAAATTGTAAAAAACAAAGCAGGGGAGCATTTGTGTTTTGGGTTTGGTTGATGGGGAAGGGGTGTGAGGGAACTTTCTGGAATGATGATGTTCTATATTTTGGTGGAGATTTGGGTTACACAGGTGTATACATTTGTCAAAACTCAATGACTAGTAAGTTAAGGTTTCTGCATATCTGCATTCTCAAAGTATCTGTAAACACTATTGAACTGCAATGTTTTGGATACTGAGGTGTTTAGGAGTTAGGTATAACTCTTTTTCACTTATCAAGTGTGGAATTTCTTTAAAAGTGGTATGTAAGTGTCAGAGACAGGGAAAGGAAAATCATTCCTTGAGAATTTCTCCTGAGTTGAATTGTTTGTTCTGACTCTATTTTAGGAAGGTTTTCTTCAGCTTTTGATAACACTTTCCATGTCACTGGATCCTTATTTTTCATTTTGTAATCCTGTATTTTGCGGGGGTGAATCTTTTGTTTTCCAAATGAGTGGGTGTCTTTCGTTGTTTTATGTTTGTAATTTGACTAGAGGTTGTTTGGTTTGTTGTATTAATTACTTCCACATTGATTCTTTGCTCTTTTCTCACAATCTTTTTTTAAAAGCTTCCATAGTATTTATAGATTTAAACAGAGTTTCTCTGTATTATAGCCTGTTTCTGACATTTGTCTTATTTCCCAAAGCAGTGCATATAAACTTTTGCAGTTATTTTTGAGGATGGTAATTCTTACAGCATTCTGTTTTCTGGTTCTTGTTTCCTTACTTTTCTTTAATAATACATTACTTCTAAAATTGGATCTGGAGTGGTTTTAGATTAACTTTTTTATTAACAATTTTTTTTTGGATTCACAAAAATAAAATAGCATATTGTAGAAAATTTTAGCCTAATTTTTAAGTTTTGCCAGTTTTATTTTCACACATACTTTTTGTGATGGTAGTGTGTTAGCTCAGAGAAGGTACTCTGTTACTATCCCAACATCTTTCAGGGTATCTTTTATGGTTTTGTTCTTTCTTTTCATATACCTCTAAAATGAGTTGTTCTGAGGAAGTCAGTTATAATAATAGTTCTCAACCCCACAAGAGCCCTGCAAGACCCAGTGCAGTTCTAATGAAAATATTTTTAATTACCTGTTTCTGTCCTGAAATTAATGGCTTTTTAACCTACCTACACACATAAAATTCAGTGTAATTGCCTTAATTGTAACATAACGAGGAAATAAAAGAGTAATTAATAAATATTTTGATACATTACTTTTGGAGCATGATGTAATAGATGTTTGTATTTAGACACAGAAACCATGAATGGGGCAGCTATAAATGCAAACTGTTACGGTGTGTTGCATTGGTCACTTGTATACCACAAGCAATATTGCTGTCAGTGTCATGATTTTCTGAAATATTTGAACAACTGATAAAATTCTGAAGAAAACAAAGTACAAATTTCCTTCAGTTTACACATTCTATGTGTTTCTGGAAATTTGGGCATCTATTTAAACTATGCAAACATGTACTTCGTTTATATTCAAAACAGAATTAGGTTCTGACTCAGATCATTATAAAGAGGTGTTTCATCTTCATGAATGTCCGGGAGGACATTAGAAAGTTATCAAGGCCAGAGCACAGTTATCTTAGGTGGAGGATTCTCCTGTGACTTGCAAGTCATCTAGCATCCCTGGACCTTGTGCACTAAGTGCCATAATTGCCCCTTCTTAATCATTGTGACAACCAAACACAAACTTCCAAAACACAATATTGGGTGTTTGTGTGCAATGGAACTCTTTGGCAAGGATGTCACAGTAATTTTTTTAATGCATAAAATAAAATACACAGGATTGCAAAGAAAATGGATTTATGGAAATACAGACCCCAGGTTAAGAATCTCTGCAAGAGGTGACTACCACACCCTTCTCCAATATACACACTCCAGTTGAGAATCACTAAGTTGGAAGAGCTTTTTATGTTGAGGGAAATGCTGAAAGCCATAGTCTTAAAATTTTAAGGATTTGAAAGTACATATGGGTGCCCAGAACATTTGCCATCAACACTGTCATCAATAGGGGACTAACAACCACTCTCTAATAGAATCTAAAAGAATGAAAGCAAATAGCATAGGAACTCTATTTCTATTCTAATTTTGTATCAGAAATTAAGTGTATCAAATGGACTAATGCTTCTGTTTTCCATTCTTTTCTCATTACGACTAAACTACCTCTTTGATTAACATCAATTAAAGTTCAGATCTTTTGCCAACTTGTTTATTCATATATTAAAAGACAACCTTGGCAGAACAAAAATCTTTCTCCAGCTGCTATTTGGCAAGTTGGCAAAAAACGTCCACATATTAAACACAAGCAGTTCTAGGAATAGAAATTGAAAAGCAAAATAATCAAGAGTTTATTTCAACAGGTGCTCACTTAATGCTTTCTAGGAGTACATTGCAAGAGGTGACCATATTGTATGTACATGAATAGCTTGTCATGACAAATGTGTAGAATACTAAAGATGATTTTTATTTGTTTTAGGGTATGTCTCTGTGCCAGACTGTCGTCGTGGGCTCTGTAGTCATTCTTCTGTACTCTTCCAGAGCTTGTTATAATTTGGTGGTGGTCACCATATCTCAGGATACATTAGAAAGTCCATTTAATTATGGCTGGGATAATCTTTCAGATAAGGTAAATACCTACCACATATTCCCAGTCTAACAATGTGATAATTAACTTACCCTCATCTAGGAGAATACTGTAGTGTTTGACTTACAAACACATTTATGGAATCTCTGTTTACTGTCAGTAATCATACTTAAAGCTTTGTGTTTAAAAATCTTTATATATGTGTGACATTTGAAATCGTTCTTCACAGAGAACTTCTACCAAAGGAGTATTTTCTCTCTCCTTTTTGGTAAATAATAATAGTGCCACAGGCCTCTTGGTCGTATGCTAATTTTACTTATTTTTGTTAATGATGGTGTTTAAATATTTCTAGATAAATGAATTGGCTATTATTAGCCAATTTTCCTCCTCTTTATTAGGAGGAAAGTAACTCTCCCCTACCCAAGAATTACATATACTCTTACTTTTGGTTCAGGTTTAGATGTTTAAATAATGGCTTTCATAAAAATCTGGCTTTGTCAGCCTTGATAATGGGAGAGCATTCGTAGTTCCTTGGGTGTCCAGGTATTTGCTATCATAATTCCCAGTACTCTATGCATATTTAACTTTCTAGCATTCCCATATGCTTCCTAAATGTACATTTTGACATAGCTATGTGTCATATTTTAATAGTAATTTAGCTTTGTACTGAATTTTAGGGACCTTGGAATACTGTTTTTCATTTACCTTTCTAAAGTGAAGGAATTTTCACATGTGGTTCCTTGTGGCAGATTCTCTTCACTCTTTTTTCCATTTCCCTCTCCCAACATCTGATAGAACAGAAACAAATTTAATATGTAGATTAGGTCCAAAAGCATATTTTAAGTAGAGCTGAGCTGAGTGACTTAACATGTTACATTTTTCTACAGGTGTAATTCAGGGTAAGTGCTGTTATTTTGCCTATGGAGCAGCTGGAACAGTAATGTCTTTAAAAATCACTCTCTTCAGATTGTGGGGCCTAAATATGAGATCACTCCTTATTATCCATATATTAAAATGGTCATAAACTGATACATTTTAAAAATTAACTGCTTTTTATTCTAACTTCAAAGCATTTTATGTCCTTTAAAGGATAAGTGTCATTACGTGAGAAACCACAAAATATAGAAAGTTTTAAAGTTTATGTGCCTGTAGTTAATATATTTTATCTTACCTGATTTGAAACAAGTTAACTGTGGAGGTGATTGCTTATACATTAAACAGATGTAAAAATTCTCGGCCATATTCTGTTTACAGGCTCATGTAGAAGACATAAGTGGAGAAGAGTATATAGTATTTGGAATGGTCCTCTTTCTGTGGGAACACGTGCCAGCATGGTCGGTGGTACTGTTTTTCCGGGCACAGAGATTAAACCAGAATTTGGTATGATATCATAATATTCCCCAATGCTTGTTCTCTTATTTTTAAAAATTATGGAACATTTGTATTGATTTTCTATTTTTGGCAAAGGTTAAAACTAAAAATTATTATAGTTTCTAGCCTCCTTTCTTAGTGGAAAAGTAAAACCTTCATATGCTATCTAATACTTTGTTCACAGGCACCTGCTGGCATGATAAATAGTCACAGTTACAGTTCCAGAGCTTACTTTTTCGACAATCCAAGACGATATGATAGTGATGATGACCTGCCAAGACTGGGAAGTTCAAGAGAAGGAAGGTAGATGTAACAAAGCCACTTAGCCTGAATTACTATTGAAATTGATTGAAAAAAAAAAATCTAAGCTTTAACCAAAATATGAAAAAAGGTGATTTGGTAGTAATATGTCAATAAATAAGATCGGCAATACTGGAGTTTAAAGCAGATGTTAAACCCAGGGTGGGACCTGCATTATCAGGAACTACCATCTGACTAAAGCGTATATGCCTTTGGGCTTAAATGGTACCATTTCATTTCAGGATCACTTGCTGGTTCAGAGCTGTTTGTGGGAGGGGGATGCACAAGGAAGAAATACCATTATAGTGATTATGAATCTGTTTCCATATCTCTAGTGCTGGTCAAAATTCAGAGAAACCCTAGATAAAACTCTGGGGAAGCTTAACTGCCATAGGAAATCTTCCCATGCCCTCCTTGTTTCAAAACCATTTCAAGTCCTTAACTAGTACACTATTAGCTGTGATTTGGGCAAGGAGAAAAGCTTAATGGCTGAAGCCATCAAGCATAATGGCTTCAGCTTGATATGACATTTTCTGTAATCCTAACTTCATCAGGACAAGTTACATAATCTGTTTTTTGAGCCTGTTTTTCATCTGTAAGATAGGGATAATAGAACCTATCTCAGAGGTTTGTTGTGAGAGTTAAATGTATATGTGCGTCTGCATACATACATACATACACAGATGTCTTAGAATAGAACCTAGTACAAAAGGACTACATTGTTATCAGCTGATGATCAAGTTCTACCAGTTCCGAGTGGCATTTATTCATTCTTTTGTAACATAATGCGATATAGAATCCAGGATATTAGATAAAAGTCAATAAATTTGTAGAAAGGCATTATGTTATTTGACAAAGAACATATTTCAATATATTTGATTGCTTTTATTACAAAATTCATTGAAAATGCTAAAAATTCAAATGTGACTTCTTATATCCTGATCATAGTCCTATGGCTTCTTTGCCTTTTTTTGTTGCAGTTTACCAAATTCGCAAAGTTTGGGCTGGTATGGCACCATGACTGGGTGTGGCAGCAGCAGTTACACAGTCACTCCCCACCTGAACGGACCTATGACAGATACTGCTCCTTTGCTCTTTACTTGTAGTAATTTAGATTTGAACAATCATCATAGCTTATATGTGACACCACAAAACTGACAGCATCACCAAGTCATGATTCTTGAGTTGTTTTTCATAAATGTGTATATTCGATGTGTTTAAATTCCATCTACATAAACATTCCATTATCTGTTGCAACTGAAAACAAAATCTAGAAGTGTGGCTGTGTTTGGTAAAGAACACAGCTATTATTTTTGACCTTTTCATAGTAAAATGAAGTAAAACGGAAAGTTTGGAGTAGGAGAAAAGAGAGATTAGATCTTAAGGCACTTGATGGCCTCCAAAAATCCTGACTTTGGAACATCAAATGCATGTGTGCACTTTTATCTTTGTTCTGAAAGAGTCACTGCAGTCCCCAAAGTCATATGCCAATGTTCACACTGGAATACTATATTGTACACCGAACTGGAAGGCAGTTTTCCTATGAAAATCAAAGCCTGTATATTCATTGGTATGCTCTATATGGAAATCTTAATAAAAATTTTATAGTGTGAACAGTGCAGAGTTAAGGCATAAAAATGTTTCACTCTCTATAAAAATCTACTGAAAATGTGTAATCTTTGAAGACAGTTCTTTTAAGCATGATTTTAAAATAGCGACTGAAATTCAATCATTTTAAACAAATGATAGTAGTAATCCATTAGTTATGGCCAGCAGTGTTCTTTGGAGGCCACAATAATTTCAAGAGGAAAATATACCAGTGAAAATGGTGTGGCTATTTTGAGTAGAATTGGTCAGTTGATTATTTTGTATAATTGAGATATATGTGGTAGTTTAAGCATGATTCTTCAAGAAAGCAATAGTGACTTTTGCATAGGGAGATTTTGGTAGAAACTTCTTGGGACTAAACAAGTTTAGAGATGCATTTAAGAATTATTCACAAAATGTATTAAATTAAAACAAATATATTTTCAAAAGCATTTGATTTCTCTGAAGCATGATATAGCAGTGAATCAGGATTGTCCTCAGGTAAATGAAATCATGATACATTATTGCAGTGAACTCAAGTGCAATACTTTGTGAGACATATAATTCCTCCTATGATTTTCACATTTGTATATCTTGTATATGGGAAAAGCCAAATTAAATTGAATTCAAATTAATTCCAGCATTAGACTAAATGAGCAAATTTAAGTAAATGTACAAACTAGGTAAGTATAAAACCACAGGTTAACAATATTGGAGTACTTTTAGAATTACATTAAAACTGTCTTAAATGTCCTATCCCAAATCTTAAAAAGAAGAAAATGGTAGGCTAAGATAATACAGAATTTTAAAATGCACTTTGTACCAGTGTCTATATGGAAAGAAGTAGATGCTGAATACCTCAAGATGCCAAGGGAACAAGCAACATTGGGAAGTTGTCACAACATGCTCAAAGACTAACTACAATTGTCTGCTATCTATTTCTTCAGAACTGAAACTAATACGAGTATCCTTTTCTGTTTTATACTTTGATTAGAATGTTATTTCCTCCCAAGTAGCTGAGACGGAGGCTGAGGCGGGAGAATGGCGTGAACCCGGGAGGCGGAGCTTGCAGTGAGCCGAGATCACGCCACTGCACTCCAGCCTGGGAGACACAGCGAGACTCCGTCTCAAAAAAAAAAAAAAAAAAAAAAAAAAATGTTATTTCCTCTCTTACTTAAAATGTATTTCAACTTTTTAACAACTGATACTATAACTTCACAAAAGTAAAACACTAGGTTGAAACCCTAAGGAAAAACTGAAATTGTTAATGCTTTCCATCTTTTGGGAGGCAAGTACAGAGACAAATAAATTTCTTCTTTTTATGATACAAAATGACTTTGTATTCAATCAGAAGCATATACTTACTTACATTATTTTGGGTTTGTTTGTAAGTTCTCTTATTGTAACCAAGTTATTTAAAATTGTATAATATAAAAAGTTAACCGTGGTATTAAGTGACAAAAGCGTATTTTTATTACAACTTCAGTTGTTAGATTTCTTCTCAGAATGCCAACTGTTTATTTTGCTAATAATGTTAGGTATCTAACATTAGATAGAGCTGTCTGAAAAGATACATTGTCTTCGTTAATCCTTGGGGTTCAAGGTGATGACGTTTTTCTGGTAAGGTTCCCCTTGATAATGTTCCTATTTAACCAAACTAAAAAAGATTACTTTTTAAAAATTTCTCAGAAAAAATAACTTGGTTCTTTCTGCTGCATTAGTTGATTGTTCCAAATTTGAGATTTGTAAGTTTATTCTTATCACTGACTAGGGTACCCAAATTCTTGCATTTGTCTCCTTATACACATCTAACACATCACCAAAGACAAATAAAGATACACTCTGGCCCAATCTTTGCTTAAAAATTCCAAAGCACTAGGAGCACTTTAAGTTTGGTCTCGAAAGTTGTTTATAAAATCAAAGGGCTACCGATTCCCTGTTCATCCTGCACTGAAGCACATGATGACAATATCAAACCTTCATTTTTGTTCATTAAAAAGTGAATTTCGTTACTTACGTGTGTAATTCTATAGTGATTAGCAGTATTTGTTTTCATCATTTCACTTGGGTGGCCATTAATTTTGAAACTTTTACCACTCATTGTAGTTGGTTGTAGTTTTATGGAAAATGTAATTTATAGCTAAAGTGGCTTTTTTATGCATAGCTGCCTTTTTTATTGTTTAACAGTGTTTCTCAGCTATATAATCAGTTTCAAACTGGTTGTAAAAGTATAGCTGTGGCCAATGAATGTATTTATTTGTTGTTTCACTAAATTGTAACAAAACACTACTATTGAAAATAAAAGTGTTTGTGCTTTTATTTAGAGGTCTGGTTTTCTTCATCTCTTATAATGGACTAAGTTTCTATCATATAAGGATAAGAACATAGTGCTACCACAAAAAAAAAAAAAAGAGAAAAAAATCAGGAGTTACAAATGATAGTTTGCCTTTAGTGATCGCATAATTTGTCGTATCACTTAATATACACCAGTTTGACATGAAGTGCCATGCAGTTTAAAATGCCAATACATGGCCGGGCATGGTGGCTCACGCCTGTAATCCCAGCACTTTGGGAGGCCGAGGTGGGCGGATCACAAGGTCAGGAAATCGAGACCATGGTGAAACCCCGTCTCTACTAAAAATAGAAAAAATTAGCCGGGCGCAGGGGCGGGCGCCTGTAGTCCCAGCTACTCGGGAGGCTGAGGTAGGAGAATGGCGTGAACCCGGGAGGCGGAGCTTGCAGTGAGCCGAGATTGCGCCACTGCACTCCAGCCTGGGCGACAGAGCGAGACTCCGTCTCAAAAAAAAAAAAAAAAAAAAAAAAAAAAAAAAAAAAAAGCCAATACATTATTAGATAGTACATTTTTATTCAAACATTAAGCTAAGAAAAATGGTTGTATGAAATAATTTGTAACACCTCTCCCCGTCCCTTTAGAATCTTAAAACAGGAATCCATTTATCTACCTTATAATCCTAGGAAGGTATTCTTTGATTATTCAAGAAATTCTTCAATGATGCTTAACACAATTTTCCCATGAAAGAAGTTCCTTTTCTTCCCAGAATAGACCCTTTTCATGACCCACCAAAAACCATACCAAATCTTGAATACAATTTCAGCTTTATTGACCCCCTGAAGTCTACAAATCCTTGGGACTCTACTGACCCTTGCTGTAAAGTGAAGGGAGTGAAAGTATTTGGAATCAAGGTAGGACCTCTAATATAATAAAGATGTCACTTTAAAATCAATTTATTCAACAAACATTTATTAAACGTTCATATGCCAAAAACTATGCTATGGAGATGCAAAAAATAAAAAGGTTCCTTTTCCTGCCCTTAAGGAGCTCACATTCTAGTGAAGAAGACTTTTGAAAAATAAAACAATACAGTACAATTTAAGTGACATACAATAGAGGTAGGTTGTAATTACAGTGGTGACACAGAAGTAGAAGTTAGATGACTCTCCTTGAGTGGAGCAAGGGAGATTTTACAGAGGAAATGCTTATGTCAGGCCTGCAAGATGCATAGGAATTTTCCAAGTTGGGGAAGGATGACCAGCGCACTTGATGCAAAGAGTACAGCATTTACCAAGGCGGGAAACCTGGCCATACAGGGCTTTTGAAGAACTGTTAAGTCTGTTTCACCAGAACATTCGGTGGAGGAAACACATTACACATCAGAAGACCTTGTACACCAACCAGAGGGGTTTGGCTTTCTCCTGAAAGTTCCTGAAGTCATGGAAGGGTATTAGGGAGTAATGCTGTCAGAGTGCTTCTAGAAAGCCTACTCTGGTAACATTGAGCAACAAATAGGAAACCAGCTAGGTATAGGAGGCAGGTTAGTACTGTAGGTATTAATAATATCAATGAAGATGAAAGAGTGATGTATCAGAGAGGTGGAGATAAAATCAGTAAAATTTAAACACTAAATGATAGGGGAAGGTGGAGAAGAGGAATGAGCCTAGAAAACATAGAATATAATGGTTCTAAAATTAACCAAAGTAAGGAACACAGGCATTAGAGTAGGTTTTACAGACAATGAATGTTTTAAGACACAGGTGTCTGTGGGACAACCAAGTAAAGTGCAGCAGGCAGATGGATTGAGGAGTTTGGCTAAAGATAAGGATTTAGGAATTGCTGAACTGAAATGACCCAAGCGTGAGAAGTGGTGTTATGATTAAGAGGAAAAAAAAATGGAGGCCTGAGGAATAACATTAAAGGAATAAATGAAGAAGCTAAAAAGGGGGGGTTCAGGAGTGAGCAAAATGTAAAAAATCAAGGGAATAAATCTTTCAAGTACAGGCTGTCAAAAATGTCAAATAAGTAATGGCTTGTGAATTAAACTGTGGATTTAGAATTGATTTCAGACTTCACAGGAAGGGACTGTTAACTATACAGCCAAACGGCAGATTTCAGTTGCGGAGCCAGTGGAAGGTGACAAAGTAGAGGTAAGAATATTCCTTCAAAAGGATTGGCTGTTAAAAAAAAAAAAAAAAAAAAAAAAAAGGAAAGGAAGCATAAGATGAGAGAGGGGGATACACAAAAAATGGCCATTTGAACCCACACTGTATTTTATGTAGAGTGATCACTTCATAGTCTTTTGAGTCTCCAAGAGGATTGACTTATTTAGTGGGTTAATGTCTTTCTTTTCCTGCCTTAGAGAAAATGAAGTGGCAGAGGAAAATAGGTCACATTATTAAACTTAGTTCTGCGATTATTCATTTAAAATATACTGAATACATATGCATACATTCATCCAACAAATATTTATTGGATACCAAGTATGTGCTTGGCACTGTAGCAGGCCTTAGGGACACAGAAGAAAAAGTGTACAGCAGTGTCAACTGACATTTCTTAACCACTATATAAATAAACCCCACTCTACTAATAATGGGACATTTCAACATGTTATACCTGATAAGACATATGTAAAGAGGGCACATGATTTTGAGGTATATAGCTTTTTCTCTACAATTACCATGTGATATAAATTCCTAAACCCCTTCAAATAGCTTTATAAATGAAGAGCTTCCATTAATGAAAACCTCCCAAAATTACAGTTCAGTTTTAGGGAGACAAAGGAACTTCGTGTATAAAAAAACAAAACTTAAACTGGGTATGGTGCAGACACCTGTATTCCCAGCTACTCGGGAGGCTGAGATGGGAAGATCACTTCTGCCCAGGAGGTCAAGTTCCAGCCTGGGCAACACAGCAAAACCTTGTCTCTCAAAAAAAATTTTAATAAAATAAATAGCCTACCCTATTACTATACACATCAAGCGTAAAACAGGCAACAAAACTCAAAAAGAACTTTAGACTGGAACTTGAAATTATTATTTATTCTAAGGCTTATAGTAGTATAGTTCCAGAATTGTGGGAGGTTTTTTTTTTTTTTTCTGAGAAAATCATTTTTAGAAATTATTCAGTATTACACTGAAGTATTTAGGGTTAAAGGGGCATGATGCCTGTAACTGACTTTCAAATGATTGAGGAAAAATTGTGTGTGTGCGCATGTGTATGTGCATGTGAGTGTGTGTGCGCGCGTGTGTGTACAAAGAAAGCATGAAAGATAAAGTACATATGAACAATTAGTGAATCTGGGTAAGAGAGCTCTTTGTACTATTTTTGAAACTTTTCTGTAAATTGGAAATTATATAAAAATAAAAAGTGTTCCCCAAATTTTATTTAGTATTAGGGAAAGTATTATGAGAATAAATATATAATCTATTCAACTTTTCACAATGTTTAGAAATCTCCTGTGCCTTTGAGTTGTTATTGTACATTTCTATACACAAAAATAACCCAATCAAAATAGCAATATCATTCTAAAAGTGATTTGTTTCATACCAATGTATTTTAGGATTGCCAGATAAAATACAAGACTCCCAGTTAAATTTGAATTTCAAACAAATAATTTTTTAGTATAAGTATTTTCCAAATATTCCATGTAACATATTAAAAAACTAATTGTTGTTTATCTGAAATTCAAATCTAACTAGACAATCTTTATTTTTATTTGCTAAATCCAGCAACCCTAAATGTATTGAAAAATTCTACATTGCTAATTACGGGTCATTCATGAGGCCTCCTTAGCATTTTCCTATTAAATGCTTGCCATATTTACCATAGTTTTATTTATATTACATCTTATTACACAAAATGCTAGTTTCAGACACTTAGAATATTCACTTTTATCATATATGAATTTTATAATCCTCCTTTTATTCAATATTAAACTTTAAAATTTGTACCACATTATTAAAGTATTACTTTTCCTCACAGTAGTATTATACATAGACTTAACACAATTTTTTAAAATGTGTTTACTTAAAACAATATAATTCTCCTTTACAAAAGCAACTTTATATAAAATGTTTGGCTTAAGACTGTCATTGCTATTATGCCTTTGAATGAAATTCCACTCTTTGGCCTCCACTGTCCAGAAACAGGCACATATCAGCTTGTTTTCTTTAATGAATACTTTGTAACAAGTTCCTGAAGTTTTCTAATTCTTTCACACTTGTAGAAATTCTGTAACCAAAAAATATTTCACTCAGAAATCATCTTAGATAAATTTTATCTGTAAAAGTTACTCACTTTGCATTTTAAAACAACATTTTTAAAGTAACTTATTTCAATAAATTTCAGGTGCATAAAACATTTAATATATTTTAATATATTTTAGTTCTTAATTTGACATGGTAAAACTAAGGTATTAATGTCCAGAAATTAGTTATTTTAAAAGTATTTAAATATGCATGCCAGATTCAGTGATTCACTCCTGTAAACCCAGTATTTTTTGAGGCCAAGATGGGAGAACTGCTTGAGGCCAGGAATTTGAGACCAGCCTGGGCAACACAGGGAGACCCGGTCTCTACGAAAAAAATTTAAAAATCAGCCAGTCATGGCTGTGTGTACCTGTAGTCGTAGCTACTTGGAAACCCGAAGTAGAACTGCTTGAGCCCAGGAGTTCAAGGACAGTGAGCTATGATCATTCCACTGCACTCCAGCCTGGGCAACATAACCAGATCCTATCTCTAAAAAACCAAATTATTTTAAATAAATAAAATAGCCAGGTGCAGTAGCTCATGCCTGTAATCCCAGTGCTTTGGAAGGCCAAGGCGAGCAGACCACTTGAGTCCAGGAGTTTGAGACCAGCCAGGGCAATATAGCAAAACCCTATCTCTACAAAAAATTAGCCCAGCATGGTGGTGTGTGCCTGTATCCCAGCTACTCAGGTGACTAAGGTGGGAGAATCTATTGAGCCTGGGAGGCGGAGGTTTCAGTGAGCTGAGATCACATCAGTCAATCAAATACCTAAGTATGAGATACATAAGTATTTAAATACTTCTGTATTTTAAGCATTCATAAGTATACTCCCTTTATATTAAAGCATATAGTATTTGGTATAAAATATGTATGTATACAAATATAATATTTAGGTATAAGTATTCATAAAAGTATTCCTCTGCTTAATATTAAAGAATATAAGTATAAAGTATATAAACACAGAACTATAACTATTTTTAAATGCATAAGTATATGAATACTTAAAATACACCATATTTAGTAAATGTAGAAAGAATCAATGCTATTGGCCTATAAAGAGTAAGAATATTAAATGTATGACTACATTGTTTTCAGTAATTTTTGTAAAGTAAATTTTGTTCATTTTGAGTGCACTTAGTTCTGCTCTCTATCATGAAAAAAATAGTAGATTAATGAAATATTAACTATCAAACCCCTGGGTGCGAGAGACACAATTTTGAAGGTCAATTATTTCAAGCCCAAAATTATAATATTTTTTAAATGAGGAAATGTAGTCCTTTAAAAAATATTAATTTTTATAAATCTCAGCATTTCTTGCATGATAGGCCAGAAAGAATGCATCTGTAAATATTTTAATGTAAGTTCCTTATTTCATGCTTTTCTTTAATCATTTTGATGGGAAATAATTGTTTTAAAAAGAATCATTAACCTTTTTATATAATGGTGAATTCACAAAGAGATTTACATGTACACCTATGTTAAACATGATTTTTCTAGCACCACAAAAATAATTGGATAGCAAAAAAATGTGCTTTTAAACAATTTTTAATATACAAATTCGATAAGATGAATATTAAAATTCAATCAGTAATTATAATTATGATTTTATATTTACATGTATGCACATTTTTTTTTCTTTTTTTTTTTTTTTTGAGATAGTGTCTTGCTCTTCTGTTGCCCTGGCTGGAGTGCAGTGGTATGATCTTGGCTCACTGCAACCTGTGCCTCCCAGGTTCTAGTGATTCTTCTGCCTCAGCCTCCCGAGCAGCTGGGACCACAGGCATGCTCCACCACGCCTGGCTAATTTTTTGTATTTTTAGTAGAGTTGGCCAGGCTGGTCTCGAACTCCTGGCCTGAAGTGATCCACCCACCTCAGCTTCCCAAAGGGCTAGGATTACAGGCATGAGCCACCGTGCCGCGCCCTAATTATGATTACAAAAGTCAACAGATGAAAATAAAGACCATCATGTACCAATTGTATATGTCTACATACTTGAGGTATTTCATAATATCCCATAATTCTGTAATGAAATAATTTCTTCAAAAAAAAAAAATTCCTGGCTGGGCACAGTGGCTCACGCCTGTAATCCAGCACTTTCAGAGGTGGAGCCAGGCAGATCACCAGAGGTCAGGAGTTCAAGACCAGCCTGGCCAACATAGTGAAACCCTGTTTCTACTAAAACTACACACACACACACACACACAAATTAGTCAGGTGTGGTGTCATGCACCTGTAGTCCCAGCTACTTGGGAGGCTGAGTTGGGAGAATCACTTGAACCCAGAGGGCAGAGGTTGCAGTGAGCCGAGATCACACTACTGCACTCCAGCCTGGGCTACAGACCAAGACTCCATCTCAAAACTAAATAAATAAATAAAATAAAAAGGATATTCCTTACCCAGTTTTTTCTGAGAGCATATATGTTGCTTTAGACTTACTTGGCTACCAGAAGCAATTTCAGTACATTCAAACTAACCTTCCAAATGCGTTGAATAATGATACTATTTCTTGTCTGGTTAGATGGAATTCATAACTAGGTCCACTTTCTGGCATATTTGCTATCAATTTCTCAGAAAACAAGATCTTCAGAGCAGTGCCCAAACCCTGAGTCTATAACAGAAATAAGAAAAAAATAAAAATTAGAAAATTATTCATGCAAAGGGTAAATGAGAAATAGGAATGACTAGATTTGCTTACCTGAAGCTTTCCCCACAGACGACATTTAAAACAACCAACACAATCCATGATTCTTGAAATATTTCTAAAATGCAGTCGAAAGTCCTCCTGAAAACAATTTAACAAAATTTTATTAAGATGTACTATACAGTCAATTACTGAGTATTTTCAGAGCACGTTCTATGTGCCTAACACTGTGCAAGGTACTATGGGGTACCAAAAATGAGAAGAGCACTAATATTCATTGATTTTACATACCAGATCCTTACATATACAATCTCATTTAATCTTCACCATGAATCCAAAGGTAGATATTATAATCTACACCTAATGTAAAAAACAAGATTCAGAGTGTTTAGGTAACTTGCCTAAATTCCCACACTAGTAAACAAAAAAACTTAGAACCCAGGCCTGCCTGACTCCAAAGCTAAACTATCTGCAAAAATATACAAAATAACTTTGTCAAGGTGTCCATGGTAGATGATTAACTACATGTCAATAGGTGGAGAAAGGAGGGTGAGGCAGGGTTAGAGACCATCATTTACCAGAAGGAATGAGGGAGGGAATGAGTGAAGAAGGTTTCTTTTTTTTTTTTTTTTTTTTTTTTGAGAGGGAGCAGCGCCCTGTCACCCAGGCTGGAGTGCAGTGGCAGGATCTTGGCTCACTGCAAGCTCCACCTCCCGGGTTCACACCATTCTCCTGCCTCAACCTCCTGAGTAGCTGGGACTACAGGCGCCCGCCATCACGCCCGGCTACTTTTTTGTATTTTCGGTAGAGACGGGGTTTCACCACGTTAGCCAGGATGGTCTCGATCTCCTGACCTTGTGATCCGCCCGCCTCAGCCTCCCAAAGTGCTGGGATTACAGGCGTGAGCCACCATGCCTGGCCCATTGTTACCATATCTTAATAATATTTTCTATCTTGGTTTCAGTACCTGTCCAGTAAGAGGTACTAATTTTTTTATTTTTATGACCACATGACATCCAAGCAAGAGGTACTAATTTTAAACCTACTTTAAAAAAACTAACCAGTAATATTACTCTACAAAGATTCTGTGATCTTTTAGGTTTCCTTTAAACTACAGCTTTGACCAAAACTTATAGAAAAATCATACTTTTAACAATAACAACAGAGTAATAAGGTTACTCTAAAGAACATGTTCCCATCCTATGAGCTGTTGACTTCTAGAAGACTTAATAGTTATTATGAGGATCTACAAAATCCACATGGAGACAAGACTGTATACCACAAAATAAATAGCTCACATGTATGCACTATAAATTTCCAAATGGATAGAAATGTTATGATCAATAAAACACAACTTTTACTTTAAAAGTGTTACTAAATGCACGGTAGCTTTTTGGCAATCATATTTTCAAAATCAACAGATACTAAAAATACTGTCATGAGAAGAGGCCTTGAAAGTTCCTGAGTATAAGAGACTCTCATACTTGTGAGAGTTGGAAGCCTCTGTTCTAAAAGATTGTGCTTGCTTTTGTAGATGCTAATTTCAATGTCCGATTCTACGTTAATTCAAATACTTGAAAGTGACAGCTCTTGAGTAAGTCTTTGTATGACATGTACAGAGAGCAGGCATGGTTGTACAATAGCCAAATAAACACTGTAAAATTAAAACCAAGCACATCAAATAGCATGCATCTTCTGCTTAAGTGAACTTAATATGCTAGGACCAAATTAATAGGCTAGAAATTTACTAGATCAAATTAGTAAAAATTAGTAAGGATTTCACAGGAGAAAATCCTTGTGACTTAACAAATAACAATCATGTACAATAACTTGAGTATATCCCCTAATTATCTCAGGTTAGAAAAAGTATGGTCCTTAAAATAACCAGTACCTAAATCACTTACAGATTTTACTTGTTTAGACATACAGTTTTAGGTCATCACTTTAAATTACAGCCAGTCAACAGAATGATCAAGCATTCTGTGATTCATATTCAGTGAAACCAACTGACCAGTTCTTGCGCAAATTCTCAAATATTTTACAAGTCTTCAAATGAGATCAAATTCTATTTGAATTGAATGCTAAATAATTCTCCTTCATACAAGTCCTCTATTTCTAACCATACATTGATAGGGTACTAAGGAAACAAGATGAGATTTTTAAAATTAATTTATAAATATGACTGTTCAAATCGATGTTTACCAGAAACCACTTTTTAAAAAAGTAAATCTTTGATAGTAGCATGTTTTGTTTTTTACATCTTTCCTGTAAAAGATTCAGAAAAATTCTCTGTTACATAAAGAATCTCTACCTAAACTTCATAGGACATTAAAGGTGAGTGTTTCCGAGTTTTGATCAAATTAAAACACCGTGAGAAATCCTTCTAATCTGCACGATTTAAAAAGAGCTGATGCCAGAACACTTTCCAATAAAGCAGCAAGTAAACTAAAAAAAAAGGAACATATTGAAAATAGTAGGAAAAAAAGAAGTCTTATTACAGCATCTTCCCCCTCACTTTCTAGTTCCTGGAAGCTGTTTAGGCAGATTATATAAGCACTGAGGTATGTATTTGTAGCAAGAATGCTTCAAGTAGGAGGTAGATGGGAAGTCAAGAATAAGTATTATCTAACAGCAAAAAAACTGAGTGCATAAAATCAGCTTCTTTCATTACAGAAAGAATAAGAAGCAGAGGAAGATATTTGTAAATATTTTGATGAAATCAGGCTGGCTATGGTGGTGGCTCACACCTGTACTCCCAGCACTTTCGGAGGCCAAGACAGGCGGATTGCTTGAGGCCAAGAGTTCAAGACCAGCCTGGGCAAAAACAGTGAGACCCCCAACTCAACAAAAAAATTTTAAAAGTTAGCAGGGCATAGTGGTGCCAGCCTGTAGTCCTAGCTACTCAGGGGGCTGAGGTGGGAAGACGGCTTGAACCCAGGAGTTCCAGGCTGCAGTGAGCTATGATTGTGCCTCTGCACTTCAACTTTGGTGACAAAATAAGACCTTATCTCTTAAAAAAACAAAAATATATATACAATATGTATGAAACCAGACATATTTATACAGAAATCTATCTATACATATCTACCATATCTAGTATCTATATCCCGTATCTTTATTAAGACAAAGCCCAAATCATTGTTAATTGTTACCATATCTTAACAATATTCTCTATCTTGTGTTTCAGTACCTGTTCAGTAAGAGGTACTAACTTTATTTTTACTATTTTTCTATAACCAGATGACATCCAAGCAAGAGGTACTAATTTTAAACCTACCTTAAAAAAAACTACTCAATAATATTACTCTACAAAGATTCTGTGATATATATATATGAGATTTCATATGTACATATATATAATTGCGTGTGTGTGTGTATATATATATATAAAAAATCAGATCAAGCCCAGTAGTACGGAGGGCCACCTGCCTCTACTTACCAGTAGAACTTTGTAAGAGAGAAGAGAAATATAATTTTACTTGACCCCCTCTGGAAATCCCTTGAGGGTGGAAGCTCTCTTTCCTTTTAATGACAAAAAATTGTGCTGTGCACATAATGAGTGTGTAATAAATCTTCCTGGTGATGTTTGATATTTATAGTATTATGTGGCAAATACATACTCAGAGATTGTCTTGTCTGAGGTTAGACCCTATTAAAAGGCAAGGCAATGACAAGACCCCATTCTGTGGGGTATTGAATCTATTCTTTCCCAACTGCACACTGGTATTCGTAACTGTCTTTAATTCCCAGTGAATAAGATGAATGGAAGGGGGTGCAATGGCTCATGCCTATAATCCCAGCACTTTGGAAGACTGAGGTGGGAGGACCACTTGAGCCCAGGAGTTTGAGACCAGCCTGGGCAACAGAGCAAAACCCTGTCTCTACTGAAAAAAAAAAAAAAAAAAAAAAATAGGTAAGCATGGTAGTACATGCCTGTGGTCCCAGCTACTCAAGCTACTCAGAAAGCTGAGGTGGGAGGATCGCTTGAGCACAGAATTTCAAGGTAGCAATGAGCCGTGATCATATCACTGCACTCCAGCCTGGGTGACAGAGTGAGATCCTTTCTCAATAACAATAAAAAAGATGAATGACAAAACATCACACTGTGCCTTCTCCCACTAATGAAGATCTGTTAATTAATATCATCTTCAGAATTCTCTTCAGCAAAAGATAGACTAATATGCTACTCATGCATTGGATCCATTTCCTTTAATTTATTACATCTATTACATGAGATCATCAATGTGAAAGGCATCTATAAGGTGTACAGCAATATACAGATATCAGTGTTACTTTGAATATAATGCAAAATAGACTTTAAGTGGCACCTGCCTTTGGACTTGATTTTTTTGAGGAAAAGAAAGATAATGATTCTGATTTTTTTCTTATTAATTTCAAGATGTATATATCAAGATTTACTGTTAAGTATACATACATGTATTTATTTTTTAATTGACAAAAATTTTATAGGTTTATGGATACAATGTGATGTTTTAATGTGTATTTACAATGTGAAGTGATTAAACCAGGCTAATTAACAAATCCATCACCTCACCTAATCATTTTTTGTATAGTGGAAACTTTAAAATCCACACTTTCGGCAATTTTGCAATATACAATGCATTATTACCACAGTTACCATTCTGTGCAGCAGATCACTAAATCTTATTCTCCCTAACTGAAACTTTGTACCCATGGATCAACATCTCCTTTTTCCCCACCCACCCCCAACTCCCAGCCTGTGGTAACCACCATTCTACTCTTTTTTTTTTTTTTTTAATTAAAGACAGGGTTTCACACGATGTTGCCCAAGCTGGTCTTGAACTCCAGGGCTCAAGCAATCCTCCCACCTCAGCCTCCCAAAGTGCTGGGATTACAGGCCTGAGCCACCGCACGTGGCCTACTCTCTACTTCTGTGAGTACTATCTATGGGTTTATATTCGTATCTGCATAAGTGTTAATCAGTTTGTATCTAACGATTAAGATAAAGTATAAAATAATTACCTTTAGTTTGTGTGCTTCTTTTTTATCCCCAGCAAAAAATGAATTCTCATCAAAATGCAAAGGAAATGACCTGCATTTTAAAACAGAGAATATTCATTTTCATGTGTTGTAAATATTAAAAGTACTGCTAATACAACATTTTACTGGTCATGATAAATAAAGAGGAGAAAACATAGTAAAACCAATACTCCAATGCCCAAAACAAATTCTTATCCTCAAGCCTCAAATCTCGATTCTAACTGCATGAGATAATTATAAGTACCGAAATTTGACCCCAAATCCAATTTGTTCAAATAAACATGAAAATAATACATTATCAAATACTAAAAGAATGGCTCTTAAAACTAAAAATGTGTGCCTCTCAGTACCCAAGTCAAAATAAAAACAAAAGCAAAATTCAATTTGAAAAGACCTACAAACAAAATTAACTTTTAATTATGTTCTAAATAGTTTTCCTTTCTCTAAATGAATACTTAAAAATTTCAGGCAGAGCACAGTGGCCTGCACCTGTAATCCCAGCACTCTGGGAGGTCAAGGTGGGTGGATCACTTGAGCCCAGGAGTTCGAGACCAGCCTGGACAACATGACAAAACCCCATCTCTACAAAACATACAAAAATTAGCCCGGTGTGGTGGTTTGCACATATAGTCCCAGCTACTTGGGCTGAGATGGGAGGACTGCTTGAGCCCAGGAGATGGAGGCTGCAGTGAGCCATGATCGTGCCACTGCACTCCAGCCTGGGCAACAGAGGGAGACCCTGTCTCAAAAAAAAATAAATAAATAAATTGATTTTGTACATTACTTGTCACTCTTCTATTAATGTATAAATTTTAATATATAATTTACTTGATTTCATGAAGTATTTCCAGAAGTAACATTTTGTTTTCCTCATCCTGAATTTTATTTCCAGTAAAGAGTTGAAAATCTGGGCGCTCGAAGAATGGTAACACTTTGGATAAAGCCCTTAGTTCTATTAAGTAGAGAAAATACAAGTTCTTAAGCCTTCTTGGACCTTCTCCTTCAGTCAAAATTCCATCAAATCGCTGTTGAAATTCTGTAATGTTGTGTCCCCATTTCTTTTCTAACCAGGTCTCTAAGGAAGAAGAATTAAATATTAAAAACTGAATTTGACAATTTTTACTTTAATTATATTAGGTTATTCATGCCTGCAGAATTTCATTTAGCATTTTAAATTATATAATAACAACCAGAAAATGATTTTTCACAATTTAGCCATTAATAGTTTTATATTAATATTTTATTTTCTAAAACCCATCCTTACAATGAATTCAAAGTTTTACTGAAAAAGCAAGTCTTATTAATAATAAAAATCATTCTTGCCGGGCGCGGTGGCTCAAGCCTGTAATCCCAGCACTTTGGGAGGCCGAGACGGGCGGATCACGAGGTCAGGAGTTCAAGACCATCCGGGCTAACACGGTGAAACCCCGTCTCTACTAAAAATACAAAAAATTAGCCGGGCGTGGTGGCGGGCGCCTGTAGTCCCAGCTACTCGGGAGGCTGAGGCAGGAGAACGGCGTAAACCCGGGAGGCGGAGCTTGCAGTGAGCTGAGATCCGGCCACTGTACTCCAGCCTGGGTGACAGAGCGAGACTCCGTCTCAAAAAAAAAAAAAAAAAAAAAAGAGTATGTTGAACTGTTCAATTATGTCTATAGTTACCACCTTTCTGATTACTACCATTTAAGAGTGAATTTTTACTTCCTAATATTCAATCAGGTCAACCTTTTCCCATTCAGGTAAATGCCAGGAAAATTTTAAGAATATCTAAAAATAAGAGTGGTAAACTGAATAAAAGTAAATGTCACATACCTTGTAAAAGATATCTTGCACTCAAATGCACATTAATGCTTGCATGTAGGCCAGATATAAGTCTGTAGAATGCTCTTTTTTCTACACAGAGACCTAAGAAAAAGCAGTGACTTAGAAATAAAATTTCATATGTGAATCTTGTAGACATAAAATTAATCTCATGAGAAAAAGAAATCATTGAAATTTATTTTAAAGTTTCTAATTACCTTCTAGCCAACTGTAAAAAGTGTTCTCTGAAATCAAAAGAAAAATAAGTCATAAGATTGGAAAATGCCAAAATACAAGGTTTTCAAAAGTTTTAAAGCATTATAGCAAATTTGTGCCAAACAGCAATTTAAAGATTGTTTAACCTAACAGTCCAAGTCTTAATTGCAATTTCTCGAAAGGAAGAAGAAAAGTTTGTGGTATGGATTCAGTTAAGTACCAATCTGCTGCTTGGTCTTTAAAAGGCTTTAGCATTGCCTTAGGTAGACCCAGTCTCATAACTTTCTGGTTAAAGTGTTTTACATGAGGTCAAAATGCAGAATTTAAATAGTAAATCAATCAAGAACGGGAAAATACCTATCCTTGATAACAATTCATGCCATGAAGACTAAGGATTCATTACATGCCTTTTAAATTATAAAAAAATTAAAATGATGACAGTATTGGAGGGGTACTATTTGTATTTAGCTGATAATATTACATGCCATTCACTATTTCAAAAGAGCAATTCAGGAAAATGTTACAAACACCAAATATCACTTATATTCTTATGACCTAGTAAGATCATTCTCAATATATTTAATGCCTAGTAATTCTACAAATACAATAATGCCTAAATTAACATGATAGAATACTACCTAGTCGACATGGTCAAATAACATACAACTATGAAAATAATGGCAGGGCACAGTGGCTCACGCCTGTAATCCCAGCACTTTGGGAGGCCAAGGCGGGCAGATCACGAGGTCAGGAGTCCAAGACCAGCCTGGCCAACATGGCAAAACCCTGTCTCTACTGAAAATACAGAAATTAGCTGGGCGTGGTGGTGGGTGCCTGTAATCCCAGCTACTCAGGAGACTGAGGCAGGAGAATCGTTTGAACCCAGGAAGCAGGAGTTGCAATGAGCCAAGATCGTGCCATTACACTCCAACCTGGATGCCAAGAGCAAAACTCCATCTCAAAAAAAAAAAAAAGAAAACAACAAGAATGTAAAGAATGTAGAACATGGCAATACATAAAAATGTTTACTTTAAATATACAAAAGGCATCAGAAATAATCATTACAACTCTATAAACATTCATGTATGCATTTGCTACAGAGATGATAAACACTGTACAGTGTTTTCTACTAAAGTTGCGTACAGTAATGTTAAAAATGAACCAAACAAGCATAAAAATAATGGAAGGAATGGCAAAGGGAATAAGCAATAAATTGGAATATATAAAAACTCAAAACATCTATTTGTCAGAACACTTCATAAACAAAAGCAAAATGCAAACAACAAACTCGGTAAAATGTATGTTGCAAATATGACAAAGGGAAAAGATCCTAAATATATAAAAAGCTCAGAAACTAAATAAAAATGCTGAAATGCCCACTTAAAGAGTGTATAAATAATACGAATTTAAAAATTCACAAAGGAAAAAATAATATGGTAATAAGAGGCAAAAAATGTTTGATCTTACAGGCAATAAAAAATGCAAATGAAAACAAAAGATGTATGACTTTACCTATCAAATAAGATAAAAATATGATCATCTTTAATGCTGACAAGTGTTGGATAAAACTACTTATATATGTAAAACATAAATATCAAAATGTTAGCAGAGAAGTGTATCTGGTAGTAACTAAGGGTGTGGTTCCTGGAGTCAAACTGCCTGATTTAAATCTTAACTCTGCTACTTACAAATCATATTATTTTAGGCAAGTTGCTGAACTTCTCTTCATCTATAAAATGGAGACAGGAATAATACCCCTAGGATTGTTGAAAGAATTAAATAAAATCATATATGTAAATTGCTTAGAAAAGTGCCTGGCACAGAGTTATTAATTATTTGGGAATGGTGGGATTATAAGGAATTTATTTCCTTATAAAAATTTTCAAGGTTCTTTTTTTCAAGTTTTTGATCATGAATTAGGGAGTTAGGGGATAATACTGCTTAGGACCTAGGCTTCCAGTAAAATTTTCAGTTCATTGTGTGTCTGTGTGTGTGTGTGTGTGTGTGTGTGTCTTTTTTTTTTTTTAAAGACAGAGTCTTGCTCTGTTACCCAGGTTGGAGGGCAGTGACTCCATCTCAGCTCACTGCAACCTCTGCCTCCCAAGCTCAAGTGATCCTCCTGCCTCAGCCTCCCGCATAGCTGGGATCACAGGCATGCACCACCACACCCAGCTAATTCTTCTACTTTTAGTAGGGACAGGGTTTCACCATGTTGGCCAGGCTGGTCTCAAATTCCCGGCCTCAAGTGATCAGCCAGCCCTGACCTTCCAAAGTGCTGGGATTACAGGCATGAGCCACCATACCTAGCCAAGAAATCAGTTCAATATTATAATCCTGAAGTACCTATTCTCAAGTTGACCTGACTGTGGTCTAAACAATCAATATGATAGCTCTCAGGAATAACCCTTTGATATTTGGCCAAAATCAATACTTGTAATAAGACAGTTTCTCTAAGGATGGCTCCCACAGGTTAACGATCTTTTTTCTGATACTAAGAGGTCTTCAAATAGAATTTTAAAATCATAGTAGCCTCCTTTAATGTGGCTACAGTATAGCATAGAACTAGGTTGACACTCAAGGCAAAATAAGGTTACTCAAAACTGAAAATTGTAGAATCACATGTACCAGTAGCAAATATGAGGCATCTTTGGAAAAATAATCTCACTGCTAAACAATTTCTCTTCCAAACAGGTCTGAGTCAGCATTTTATTTAGCTGCTACAGTTACTATAATATAAAGTACAATAATAAAATAGCAATGTTATCAGACTTTAGTATTCTGTTATCTAGACATAAGGCAAAAGCAATTCATAAGAATTATGTTCGGAAAATAGATGATTTTGAGGGAAAGAAAAGTGATACTTCACATTTTAGCATTTTCACCTAGATAGACTAAAGCTAAATGCCATTAAGTCTTTTCATATTGTTAAGCATATGGTCTTAATACCAAATGTTGGCCGGGCACGGTGGCTCAAGCCTGTAATCCCAGCACTTTGGGAGGCCGAGACGGGTGGATCACGAGGTCAGGAGATGAGACCATCCTAGCTAACACGGTGAAACCCCGACTCTACTAAAAAATATAAAAAAAAATTAGCTGGGCGAGGTGGCGGGCGCCTGTAGTCCCAGCTACTCGGGAGGCTGAGGCAGGAGAATGGCGGGAACCCGGGAGGCGGAGGTTGCAGTGAGCCTAGATCCGGCCACTGCACTCCAGCCTCGGCGACAGAGCGAGACTCCGTCTCAAAAAAAATAAAAATAAAAAATACCAAATGTCATTTCAATTTCATCCTTGAAGCAAAAAGACAAAGTAAACCTCATGTATGTTGAAACTGTTAGCATTAGTTAGACTTGGCAATGACACCTACATCCAACGAGTCAGCATCAACCTTAGAAGCCAGCTCTGAAATCAACACTCATCATTCCCAGAACCTTCCCACATGAAACCCAGCAGATCCTAGAGTTCAACAGTAAAAGAGACAGGACATTTCCCTGGCCTGAGGCAATGGGGGAGATGGGGAGTGGACATGCTTCTATATTCAGGGTGGTAAAATGTGCAAATGAATGATCAGAGGCTGAGGCACGCTGTTTCTAACGTCTGAACCGAGACACAAAGTCACTTTCCCTTAATCTGTGCTAGTACCTCCAGACTTTCAGATAAATAAGTAAAACTTGAGTTCTTCTGATTTTTAGAGGTGGGAAGAAAAAATAAACTTTGCCATAATAAACATTTGAATGTATAAACAAATTCATATATGTAATATATAATAAAGAAATTATACTTACCTTCACTTTTCCCTGAAAAGCAAAACAAAATGTTTATTAAAATAAATTCCTTCCAGTGCCCCTTTTATAATGCTACACTTTCATAAAAATAAGACTAGCCATTATGGCTAGTTTTAGTCCAACAGTTCATTCACACAAGTAAAATCTGAAAGTGAGACATTCGTGACTGCAACTCTATCTGGTAGTGATATGAATTATGCCTGATTTGACTAAATGGTGTTATCTCCATGAGTGTGCATAAAGAGGTTCAGCTCATGTGAGATTTAATATACCCTGACAGGAGAGAAAAATCTAATCCATCACCTGAGAGTAGTTTTCAGTATCTTAAGGATCTATGTTTATTTGGCTGGCAGAGACTTTTTCCACCTTTATTTATCCTAAAGCTGTAATATAGTTTCTGTTACAGATTTTTATTATTGCTTTGAAACCTCCAGCCTCGCCTTATAATAATTAACCTTAGTCAGGAATATTTTCAGACTATTTATAAGATTCAAATTATACATAATACAGTAATTTGTGTGCCACTGCTTATTTACTACTGAAAATGTCTTCAAAAATTTTGCCCACTTTTTTTAATGCCATCAGTTTATTAAAGAAATATATAATCACTGCAAATATATGTTTTATAAAAAACAGGCAGAATAAAAAATTATTCATAATTCCCCAGCTCAAAGATAAATACTATTTACATTTTAGTGAATGTCTTTTTTGTTTATAGATATATTAATTATAAATATATTATACATATTGTTTTGATACCTGCTTTTCCTCACTGTGTTATTGGTCACTTTTTGATTTAAATGAATAAAAATTTACAGCAACATTTATAATGGCTATTTTCTACTATGTGACTATACCATAAGTCATCATTTAACCAGTTCCCTAATGATAAACATTTAAATTGCTCCTATGTATCTTTATGGTAAGTGACGTGGTTAATTACTTTATCAAATCATGTGAGATCATAATGATCACCTCCATTAATTTGCATTTCATCTGATATTAAATCAATGGCTTCCACTGAGTCACCACATGTGACTCTGTATAAACCCAAAAGCCTTAAAGATTTTTTCATTCCTAATCTAAGAAAGAGAAATCTGCCAGAATTTAGGGAATGATGCAATCTCAACCCCTTCTAGGAGGAAATTTATATTTGTTAACTATTTGAGATCAGCATCTTTTCAAATAAAGTTTAAAAATGAAAACCTTACACTTTTGCTGAAAGCACATTAAAGATTTTATCAGTAAGCACATATTTGAAGAGAATAAGGATACATAATTTCTAAAGAAAAAGTCTGAACTCATACACTGAAATGGCTTATTCAACAAACCATTCTTCATATTATAGACAGGGCAGGGTTTCTGTAAGTTTTAATTTTACAGCCCGTCTGGCATCTACACAGTGTCTAGCACATATTAAATGGTGGATAATCATTTGCTGAAAGAACAACTGACTTTCACTATTGTAGACAAGACCACTAAATGAGGAGAGCAATTTTCACTGATCATGTATCTAACAAACTACTCCATCTATTATGTGTCAGGCTCTATACAGAGAGATAAAACAGATAAATGCTACCCATATCTTCAGAGTACTAGGGTAGATTGATAGATATATAAATAATAATAAAATAATGCTACACACTGGAAAAGGCCGTATGAGAAAAACAAAAGAATTAAAAACAAACGCATGCATCAGATTACTTCATGAGGAGGGAGCGATACTTCTGGTTATAAGGACCAGGGAAAGTTCTATGGAAAAAGCAGCATTTGAGCCAGACCTTGAGTGAAAATAGAATATTAAAAATGTTATTAAGATATAAAGACATGTAAAGTTGAAAGCAAATGCCCAATATATGCAGTAATTTCAAGCTTTAGAAAAAATTTGAGAGTTCTGGATATTTATTTATCTGTGGGATGAGTAAAACTTTTAAAACACTGACACTTTACTATGTCTGCAAAAATATATATAATAAATATATACCCTAATCTTTATTTTTTGATAATCTAATACCAGGAACTTCATTATAAAAATATTTTTTACTGAAGTACAAATAATTTAAGCACCAATCTCTGCAAGGGTGAGGCATAACTCTACGGAAACGGGACTGTGGATTTTATGACCTCAACTGTTACTGCCATTTATCTTGCGTTCCCCTTCCTTTGAATTAAAGTTCCCTAGCTGAGAAATAACATAACAATGCAGTAAGTAACTTACCTTGACCAGAAGCCAAAGGATTTAAAGGTCTTTTAATTGTCTGTGGCCTAGAAGTAAAAAGAATTAAAAATATAAACACAAATATGTTACCAATCATGTTATATTTAAGTGATATTATCTCAGAAAGTTGCTTAATATCCAAAATCAAATTGTTTTATTGAGATTATAAAATACTTAGTTTCCTCTAAATGCTTTAAGGGAGGGTGACTAATTGTTGTAGTAATAATAGTTCCTGATCTTTTCCCACTGTAGCGGCCAGCAGGCCATTTCCTAATCGCTTCTTCAAATGAAAGAAGAGAAAATAGCAGCTAAGCTCTTCTCTTAGAGTCACTACTATGTTTTTATACATACGATATATATATATCTTTATATATGTGTGTGTACGTATAGCACAAAGTGTACCCCAATTGAAAGACAAATAAGCAAAAAATATTCAATATAAGCATTAAAATTAAAAAATGGAAAAAAAATAGTGTAGATTATTTTCCACTTAGGTAATCTTTAGACACATCAATTTGCCCTGTAGCTAAGTTTGTTACAATTTAAATAAAAGTTGTTTGTTCAGTAGGAAAAAATAGAAATTTTCTGGAGAGTTACTATGTCACTAAAGTGCTTTTAAATCCCAAAATAAATATGCATTAGTATTAAGAGTAAACTATAGGGATTGTTTTAACATCTATTTTAAAAATTTGCACAACTGGAGACATTTTGAGAACAGAATATGTAACCTATATTTTAAAATACACAATATAATTAACTTAGCCCCTTATACACTGTTTATATTGTTAAAAATTATGGGAATCAGGATACAAATTAGTAAGAAAATGACTACAAAACTAATACAAATCTAACAAATGCTTCACGGATTCTTAATTCACATTAAAAATAACAACAACAGTGCCAGGCATGGTGGCTCACGCCTGTAATCCTAGCACTTTGGGAGGCTGAGGTGGGTGCATCACCTGAGGTCAGGGGTTCAAGAACACCCAGGCCAACATGGTGAAACCCCGTCTCCACGAAAAATACAAAAATGAGCCTGGTGTGGTGGTGCGTGCCTTTAGTCCCAGCTACTCAGGAGGCTGAGGCAGGAGAACTGCTTGAACCTGGGAGGCGGAGGTTGCGGTGAGCAGAGATGACATCACTGCACTCCAGCCTGGGCGACGGAGTGAGACTCCATCTCAAAACAACAACAACAACAACAACAACAACAAACCTTTAAAGTAAATCTTTAAGTCAGTAACCAAATATTTCTAATAATAGTCAAGATAATTTAAATAAAACACACGGCAGAAATAAGTAATAAAAACTCTCTCCTTTCCAAACTGGAGAAATTCTTCAAGTTTAAAAAAAACAAAACAAAAAAAAAACACCAGTCTGACATTTTATTGGTGTAAACATAATTACTGATCTCATACTTATATTTGACTTATAAAAAGTGAAATATACTATATTATCCCCATATTTGGGAACTCCAAAGACTTTCCCAGAACTCTCTCCATCTCTAAGACAGCATGACGTGCTCGCGCATACATTGTTCCCAAAAACCAGTAAGTACAAAGTTTAGAGCCTCGAGGCTTACATGTGAGTAACCTGAAGCATTTCTCAGACACCTGGTGATCAGCAACTGCCTCCAGCCTAATGGTTACCAGGACAAAGTGGGCTCTTTCACTTACTAGATCTTTGACACAACACAAATCATACAACCTAAGTCTCAGTTTCTGTCTATAAAACAGAATGCCCCACCTAATCCCACTTGGAGCCGGACGGGCGGAGATCGAGACCATCCTGCTAACACGTGAACGTCTCTAAAAATAAAAAACTAGGTCCGTATCCACTACCAAGCTAGCAGAATAACAGTGATGACTGCGACACAGGGTTACTGCAGGGACTAAAGGAGAAAACGTATATAACGTGCTTACCACAATGCGTAGAATACAGTGAGTGCTCAAAAATGAAACCTATTATAATTGTTCTGTGAAATCAACTTAACTGTAAAATAACTAAAGTCACAGAAAGGGGTGTGGAGAGCACCAAAAAGAGAATTAAGAGTTGTATATTCCTTTCTCGACACCACCACCATGTGATCTTGGGAAATGAAGTAAACCTCTCCAGCTCTAGGTTACCTCATCTATAAAATGAGATCCTATAATCTACTCAAGGAACATTTGCGAAGGGCCTACAATACTCCCATAAAAGTCTAATACGCCTCTAACTCTTAAAAAAAAAAAAAAAAAAGGAAAAATTTGTGGAAACTCATTTCCCCAGAAGGAAACTGGACTAATAGTCATGTTTCTTTGTACAAATACATCTTTTAACAAAGTGAATTTTATTTTTAATTTTAAATCGTTATGATTGTTTATAAAGAGAAATCACCACATCTTACATGAATTTTTCTAAATGAAAATGACACATACTTAAAACAGTTTTCTTCATAGATGACATTCCATATTTTCCAAGCATCTGGTCCCTTGTAACCAGTGTAGCGCTCAGGATTAAGAAGCAAATCTACATATTCAGCATCAGGGGACTGAATGTCTGTAAAATAAAATGTCTTATTAAATCTTTCTTATCCTCAGTTACCTTAAAAAGCTAGTACACAAGACTGTATTCCATTGATTCTAGCGCACCACAAATTTCACAATGTGTCAGGAATTTTAAAACAACTTTTCAGGAGAAAGAAAGGAAAGAGGCTGGGTGTGGTGCCTCACGCCTGTAATCCCAGCACTTTGGGAGGCCAAGGTGGGCGGATCACTTGAGGTCAGGAGTTCAAGGCCTGCCTGACCAACATGGTGAAACCCTGTCTCTACTAAAAATACAAAAAGTAGCCGGGCGTGGTGGTGCACGCCTGTAGTCCCAGCTACTTGGGAGGCTGCAACAGAAGAATCGCTTGAACCCGGGAGGCAGAGGTTGGAGTGAGCCGAGATTGAACCACTGTACTACAGCTTGGGTGACAGAGCGAGACTCCATCTCAAAAAAAAAAAAAAAAGAAATGACAGAAAAGAGAGAGAAACACACACTGCCACATTAATTGTACATACTGGCTATAAAAACATTATGATTTAGGAACTGTAAAAATAGGAATATGTGAATTTTAGAATCAAAGAAACATGGTAATTCAATTCTTATAAGCGATCCAGACAAAGAATATAACATACATTTCCCTCCACATTAACCACAGCAGTTCATCAATAACTACAGTAAATGAAGGAGTGTTAGTATCATACACTGCTTGTTACCAAATACTTTCTTCTTAGACGACCACCAGCAGGATCTGCTACCAATCTGGCCAAAAGCAAAAGTTACAATGCAGCATGATTCTGTGTCAACATTTATAAAAGGGAAAACTGGAAGCAACCTAAACATCCAACATCACAGAACAGTTAGAGCACGGGCTCTGGAGCCAGAACACCCAGGCTAGAATCCAGACCCTGTTACTTATTTATCATTTATAATGTGTTATCACCTCAAAACAAAAAAGATGGTCCCAGGGTGGGCGTGATGGTTCATGCCTGTAATCCCAGCATTTTGGGAGGCCTGAGGGCAGACCGCTTGAGCCTAGGAGTGATTCTAAAATTCACAGGCAACCTGGTGAAACACCAGGCATCAATAAAAAAATTAGCCAGGCACCATGGCACGTGCCTGTGGTCCCAGCTACTCGGGAGGCTGAGGTGGGAGAGTCACTTGAGCCCAGGAGGTCCAGGCTACAGTGAGCTGTAATTGCACCATGGCACGCCAGCCTGGGCAACAGAGTGAGACCGTGTCTCAAAAAAAGATGGGCCATAGTCCTCCAGTGGCTTTGGGAAATTATTTGGTACTATAATAATACTTTATTCATATATAAAGCTTAACAGTATGAGCCAACGAAGAATGAAACAAAAAATGAAAAAGTGGACAAAAATGGTCTCAATGCAACCAAAGTCAATGACAAAAATATGAGCACAAAAGTGCTTAGAGGAGAGTCCATCAAGCTCTCAACTATACCTATTTTTATTATTAAAAAACAAATATAAAAACAAAAAAAAAACCCTAAGCGTGGTTATTTTTTACTCCAATCCACAGTATATTAGAAGAATAAATTAGGAGGAAAGTTGCTTCTAGAAGCAGTACGATGATGGCATCTTAAAATAGCAGAGTTCAATGCAGAAATGGCAATGAAAATAACTAGAAAAACAAAACATAAGGACTTAAAAAATTAGCATGGAATCATCTAGTTCAGGAATGGATAACTGTTCCTTTCAATTAATACTAAAGGTAACTGCCACATATTAATTATAATAAATTCATTTTATAAACCCTGATGTTTAAAATATATAAACAGCCGGCCGGATGCAGTGGCTCACGCCTGTAATCCCAGAACTTTGGGAGGCTGAGGCGGGCGATCACATGAAGTTGGGAGTTCGAGACCAGCCTGACCAACATGGAGAAACCCCATCTCTATTAAAAATACAAAATTAGCCAGGCAAGGTGGTGCATGCCTGTAATCCCAGTTACTTGGGAGGCTGAGGCAGGGGAATTGCTTGAACTCGGGAGACAGAGGTTACAGTGAGCTGAGATCACGCCACTGTACTCCAGCCTGGGCAACAAGAGTGGAACTCTGACTCAAAAAATAAATAAATAAAAATGAAATAAAATAAAATAAAATATATAAACAATGGTCAGTATCCAGTACTTTAAGAAAACTAACCACCAAGAAATGATTAAATATTTAAATATTCTACCTAGAGATAAACATTTGTTGCCTCATAATTTTAATTATACTTTATTCTTCAAGCTTATAAAAAATATTACTATATTAATGTAATATTATAATTATATTATAAATCTTATAATTATACTATAAATATTATTATAATTATAATTATATAATTATATTTAAATTACTATAATTATATTAAATATTACTATAATTATATTTGTGCCAAGAATTTTTATGATGTGTTGGTTCCTATCACTGAATAGAACATGAATTTTTTCACAGAAAACTAGTCAAACATGTTTTGTGAAATCTAAGAAAAGACATTTAAGAGCCCATTTGGCCCTTATAGGAAGATGCCAATATCCAGCCCTAGAAGCAGAAAACGTATGTTGTGCAAAAACCTATATGATGTGCTATTTTCTATCACTGAATAGAACCTGTTTTTGACAAAAGCTCAAATTTCCAATTAGGATTTTAAAAATACCTTCTATATTTCACATACCATTTACATCCATTATTTAGTCCTGCTAAAGCTGTCTTTCTTTAAAATATTCAGCTTTTTTAAACAGAAGAAACTAATACAAATGGGTAAGTGATTCACCAAACTCCACCATATAAGAAATGAATCATTGATTCTCACTTGGTGCTGCACATTGTGGTCACAAAAGGATACTTTGTTAACGAAGGTTAAAATATTACCATCCTTTTTCTAACATTGGAGGACTAAAAAAAATTATAGTTGCATACTATAAATTTAGTTTTATCTCACAACAATATTTAAGGTAAAAATAAAAAATCCTTGTAGAAAAGATGGCAAAATAAGGGAGCTGGAAGAACATCTTATCCCCTTCCTTTACTAGACCAAATCTTGATATAGGTCTATACCCCTTATACAACATGCCTAGGACCATGTGTGTCTCGGCTGGAATGGAGAACTTTCCAGATTTTACGAAGGTAATACAGTACACACAACATCTATTGCATATTACTCCAGCTAGACCTGGGGCAGCAATCTATTCAAATACATAAATATTTCTACAGTGAAACATACGAATACTCACACTAAATGAGCCTGTGCTAAACGCAGGGGCAGAAATGTTCAATTTTCAGAGTTTTCAGATTTTAGAATTGGAAATAAGGAATTATAACTAAGTATATACCAAAACATGGCTACGGTTTCCATTAAGGAAAGCAATTTTCCCCAAAAAGAAGCCACAAAATTAAAAATACTTTCTCTTTTATGGAGATTGTAGGCTTCATCTTTTGCTTATAATTAAAAGAATTTATATCACTATTTTCACTAATTTGTTGTGGTTGTTTTGGGAAAGGGTCTCACTGTCTTAGGCTTGGAGTGATGCAATCAGGGCTCACTCCAGCCTCAACCTCCCTGGCTCAAGCAAAACTCCCACCCTCCTCGAGTAGCTGGGACTACTGGCACATGCCACCAGGCCTGGCTAATTTTTGTATTATATGTAGAGACAGAGTTTTACCATGGTGCCCAGGCTAGGCTCAGCAATCTTCCCTCCTCGGCCTCACAAAGTGCTGGGATTATAGGCATGAGCCACCAAGCCAGGCCTGTTTTCACTAATTTTGGAAAGATCATTAGTCCACTAGAAAAGAGCCACAGAAGAATACCAAAACTCAATTTGATTTTTTTAAGCAAATTAAGAGGCTAACAATTCAACTTAGAAAAAGGAAATAGCACAAAAAGGAAGAATTGGAAAATCTATACATCTTAATCAGAGGTTTTTATTCTTTGTTGGTTTGTTTCTTGAGACGGAGTCTTGCTCTGTCGCCAGGCTGGAGTGCAATGGTGCAATCTCAGCTCACTGCAACCTCTGCCTTCTGGGTTCCAGCGATTCTCCTGCCTCACCCTCCTGAGTAGGTGGGATTACATGCATGAACCACCATGCCATGATCAGAGTTTTAACTCCTAGATTTTAATAGCACCAGAACTCTGGCTTAACTTTAGACATTACAAACTCGACCAATGGTTCAATATTCTCTTCTCCAAAAGCAACATGGACCATTATTAAGGAAAATACGTAACAAACCAACAGCAATATAACTGAAGGAGGTTTTTGTAATCCCTACATTTTAGCTATTTATGCAAAATGTATATACAAAATTTTATAAACTACTAGCTACACAGAACGGCAACACTTAAGAGGTAAATTTTTTCTAGAAACTGAGCTTTTTTAAACTGTGGTAAAATAGATATAATAAAATTTACATTAACCACATTTAAGTATACAATTCAGTGGGGTTCATTAACACCACTATCTGTCGCCAAAACTTTTCCAGCACTTCAAACAGAAACTCTGTAACCATTTAGCAATAACACCTACCCATCCCAAACTCTGACAATCTTTAATCTACTTTCTGTCTCTATGAATTTGCCTATTGTTGACATTTCATATAAGTGAAATCATTTAATACTTGCCCTCTGGTACCTGACCTATTTCACTCAGCATGTTGTCAAGGTCCATCCCTGTTGTACTATATATCAGAGCTTCATTCCTTTTTCTGGTTGAATGGTATTCCACTGTGTGTTTTATATACCACATTTTGTTTATCCACTCAAACACTGCTGGACAATGGGGTTGTTAAGACCTTTTGGCTACAATGAACATTATTGCTTTGCTATCTGTTTGAGTCCTTGTCTTTAATTTTTTTGAGTACATACCTAGGAAAGGAACTGTTATGTCATATGGTAATTCTATGTTTAGGTTTTTGAAGAACCACCAAACTGTTAGAAACTGAGCTTTTTTCTTTAATAACATTTTTCTGAGATGGGGTCTTACTATGTTGCCCAGTCTGGATTCAAACACCTGGGCTCCAGTGATTCTCCTGCCTCAGCCTCCAGAAAAGCTGGGACTACAGGCACACACCACCATGCCCAGATTAAAATAATTTTTTTAAAAAAATTTCTTAGGTATAATTTTAAACATAATGCATACTATCAAAAATATTATACCATCAGCTTCACAGAAGTTATCTGAAGAATCATCATGCTTGGTCCACTGAAGAACAGCCTTCTGTGTTTCCTCACTTCAAACAAAGAAAAAAAAATAACATTACTATTTTATAAGTTAATATGTAACATAAAGAAACATGAAATACTACTGAAAAATAAAATCAAACCTCAGAGATTCATCCACTGCTCCAAGTCGTTCAGCTTGTTCACATTCTTCAATGAGATTATTGGCTTCTTCAGAATACTAAAGTGAAAAAGGAAATAAATAGACTATAACTTATTGCATCTTTAAAACTTTTTTAAAATTTAGAAGTTATCTGAAGCTCTTTTTTGATTTTATTTATTTATTTTTGAGATGGAGGGTTGGAGTGCAATAGTGTGATTCTGGCTCACTGCCACCTCCACCCCCTGGGTTCAAGCGATTCTCCTGCCTCAGCCTCCAGAATAGCTGGGACTACAGGCATGCACCACCACACCCAGCTAATTTTTGTATTTTCAGTAGAAACGGGGTTTCACCATGTTGGCCAGGCTGATCTCGAACTCTTGACCTCCGGCAATCCACCCACCTCGGCCTCGCAAAGTGCTGGGATTACAGGTGTGAGCCACCGCGCACAGCCTCTGAGGCTCTTTTTATAGCTGGCACTTTCATCTTGGCTTCAAGACTTTAAAAAAAAAAAATAAGTTTTCATGTTCCTCCTGAAACTAAAAAATAAAATGCTTTGGCTGGGCGCAGTGGCTCATGCCTGTAATCCCAGCACTTTGGGAGGCGAAGGCGGGTGAATCACAAGGTCAGGAGATCGAGACCATCCTGGCTAGCACAATGAAACCCTGTCTCTACTAAAACTACAAAATATTAGCCAGGCATGGTGGCGGGCACCTGTAGTCCCAGCTACTCAGGAGGCTGAGGCAGGAGAATGGCGTGAACTCAGGAGGTGGAGCTTGCAGTGAGCCAAGATCACGCCACTGTACTCCAGCCTGGGCAACAGAGCGAGACTCCGTCTCAAAAAATAAAAATAAAACACTTTGCCTCTTGTTTTTTGGGGGGAACACAATTTACTATTATGTTCACAAAATAAAGAATACAGTTCTGATAACTCATTACTAAACTGCCCACGAATAAAATCTTCAAGGTTTTAAGAAAGTCATGCGGTAAATGGTCAACAGGCACTGTCTTACTTTTCTAATGACGTAAGTGTGGGCATCAGTTTTCTCTTCCATAAAATAAGCAGTTGGACCAAATCACGTGTGTCTAAAGTCCATCCCATGCCATGATGCTAAGAATGCCTGGGAACCTACCATGTCACAGAAAAAATATTCTGTAATCTCAGCACTTTGGGAAACCGAAGTGGGGATCACGAGGTCAGGAGTTTGAGACCAGCCTGACCAACATGGTGAAACCCCGTCTCTACTAAAAATACAAAAAAAATTAGCCGAGCATGGTAGCACGCGCCTGTAATCCCAGCTACTCAGGAGGCTGAGGTAGGAGAATCGCTTGAACCTGGGAGGCGGAGGTTGCCGTGAGCCCAGACCATGCCACTGCACTCTAGCCTGGGTTACAGAGCGAGACTCCAGCTCAAAAAAAAAAAACAAAATCCAACATTTTTAGGTTTCCAAAATATATTCTTTAACAATCATATTTCCTCTCAATGTCCAACTCACTTTACATATATATTCTACTAGGCCTGTACATGGCATAAGGTAAGCAAGTTGGTTTATGGGATTTCATAACACACCAGTTCATCATACAGGTGAAGGACAACACTGGGAGGCCACGAATTCAATCACTCAACAAACATTTATTGAGTGTCTATTTTGGCCTTATTGTTAGGACAACTATACAAACCACTTTCCAGACAAGGACGCTAAAATAAATGAACCCTAAAATAACTAAAATGATATAGTTTTTTGAAATATTTATTTATTGAGTGACAACTTAGTTTCATTATATTGGTATAAACATGTAAGACAACATAAGACAGCTTGCTTCAAAAACTATCTTTAAAAATAAAATTATTTCATATATAATTAAGTATTAAAGGACAAAAGGATATATGTTCAACCTATAATCAAATGGCTCAGAAAATTATATATAATGTATAAAAATATATGACATATTATATAGTACACATAAAATATATATCACATAGTGTTAGATATTATATAGTATGTATATATACTTTTTTGTGTGTATATATACACACAAAAATGTGTACATATGCAAAAATACATGCATATATACACACAAAAATGTGTATTTTATATATATAATACACATATACAAATGTCCATTTATTTTATCATGCTTTTTGTGTGTCCATATATGCACACAATAAGTATGGTAAAACAAATGTGGCCAGGCATGGTGGCTCACACTTGTAATCCCAATACTTTCGGAGGCTGAAGTGGCAGGATTGCTTGAGTCCAAGAGTTCAAGAACGACCTAGGCAACACAGCAAGACTTTATCTCAAATAAATATATATGTGTGTGTGTGTGTGTGTGTGTGTGTGTGTGTATAGATATATATACACATATAAACATAAAACAAAAAATAAATGTGGTAAAATATAAAAATGTAGTGAATCTGCAGAGTGTACAAAATGTCTTTATATTAATGTTGCAACTTTTCTGTGAGTTGGCAATTATATCGAAATAAAAAGTTAAAAATACTGGCTGGGCGCGATGACTCACACCTGTAATCTCAGCACTTTGGGAGGCCGAGGCGGGCGGATCACAAGGTCAGGAGATCAAGACCATCCTGGCTAACACGGTGAAACCCCGTCTCTACTAAAAATGCAAAAAAATTAGCCGGGCGAGGCGGCGGGCGCCTGTAGACCCAGCTACTCGGGAGGCTGAGGCAGGAGAATGGCGTAAACCCGGGAGGCGGAGCTTGCAGTGAGCTGAGATCCGGCCACTGCACTCCAGCCTGGGCGACAGAGCGAGACTCCGTCTCAAAAAAATAAATAAATAAATAAATAATTAGCCAGGTGTGGTGGCGGACGCCTGTAGTCCCAGCTACTCGGGAGGCTGAGGCAGGAGAATGGCGTGAACCTGGGAGGTAGAGCCTGCAGTGAGCTGAGATCACGCCACTGCACTCCATCCTGGGTAACAGCGCGAGACTATGTCTAAAATAAATAAATAAATAAAATAAAACGTTAACAAAAACAAACAAAAAGAATGAGAGCTATTCAGTATAAATACTTCTCAAAGGGTTTCACCGCCGGAAGCAGATAAATGGGATAGTATGTACAAGGCAGGTTTTTTAAGTTTTTCATTAAGATACTAGACACATCAATAGGTATACATACATACCTTGTAGCTCGCAGATTTAATTCCATCAGGAACCTCATCCTGAAAAAGACAAAATATGTTTTTAGATGGCATTTATTCTATCTTTTTAAAACATATCTTAAATTTCTATGATTTATGAGAAAAATCCATAAAACAAATTATCGAAGTTGGATTTTTTAACAGAATAGTTAGGTAGTATTTATATGATTTCTTAAAAGTAAATAAAAATTCAAGAACAAATTATTCTATGGATTGCTGAGCATACACTATGTATATTACAGCAAGGAAATGTAAAAATAGTCATTTAGCTATTATTCCTTTTGATGTTCAAATTGTTCCATATTTGGCCACTAGGAGATCCACTGAGTGCTAACTTGATATTCATACCTGTGTTCTTTTGATATTACTCCAGTGGTCCTTAGTAGAATTTTGTTTTGTTTTGTTTTCTGTGATGGCCAGATATTCTGGGTTCTTGGAACCCAGGGGTTTGGGTCACAGAGACAGATCCCTCATGAACAGCATGGTGCCATCTATGAGGTAATGAATTAATCTATTAGCTGTATTATCTAGAAGTAGTAAGTTCTATTATCTAGAACTAATCTATTAGTTCACTTGATACCTGGCACCTCCCTGCTCTCTCTTGCTCTCTCTTGCCATGTGATATGACAGCTCCCTTTTTGCCTTCTGCCATGACTGTAAGCTTTAGGCCTCACCAGAAGCCAAGCAGATGCCGGCACCATGCTTCTTCCCACTGCAGAACTGGGAGCCAAATCTTTGGAAGATATTATCCATCTAAAAATATTCTTAGTTTGTAAATACAGATAATGTTAGCTTAGCAGAGAAGTGCCACGATTAGATCAGAGTTAGAATGCTAACTGGCAGTATTGTGGGGAGTGTGGAATAGAAGATGAGATGGGGAAGAGTCTGATAAAGTAACATAAATGTGTTAGTCCATTTTGCATTGCTATGAGGGAACACCTGAGACTGGGTAACTTATAAAGAAAAGAGTGTAACTTATAAATAAAAAAAATAGTGAAACCTTGTCTCTACCAAAAGTACAAAAAATTAGTTGGGCATGGTGATGTGTGCCTGTAGTCCACCTGTAGTCCCAGGTATTTGGGAGGCTGAGGTGAAAGGATTGCTTAGGCCCAGGAGGCAGAGGGTACCGTGAGCCGAGATCACACCACTGCACTCCAGCCTGGGCAACAGAGCAAGGCCCTGTCTCAAAAACAAGCAAAAAACACAAACAAACAAACAAAAAAGTATTGGCATGAAAGGCATTCTGCCTTTCAGTTCTTCCCAGCTCTGCAGAAGCTTAAAATAACCAGATCCTGACTCAATTTTTCAGTGCAAATTGGTAACTTTCACCTGATTCTTTTATAGCACTTCTATACATTCAAATCAAATAATAAATATATATTTAACATTTCTCAAATGCTAAAATTGGTTGTTTTCTCTAGGATTTACAATGAAATACATCTCATTCATCAATCTGTCAACTGATGGAATCAATAAGCTATTATTTTATGCTACAGTATTTTCAGCGTTTCTGCTCCCTCCAATCTTCTTTTCCAAATGGCATCTCCTAGTTCTACACCTCATCAATAATAATCTGAAATAATTGCTATCTCAAGATGAGATTTGACTTTGCAATAACTGTAAAATATTTATATTTTCTAATATTAATAAAAAGTTCATTTAATGAAGAAGTATAATTAAATGTCTTTATTAAGCATCTACCATATTTCAGGATTTTTACTAATTCATATAACTAGGATACTGGTAAATTTCCCCAACTAATTTTTTCTATTACTAAATTATAAACGTAAAACTTAGAATACAAAATGTTTACATTGTTAATATCACTTTAATGATATGCTTATGCTTTGATAGTAACAAAGTATTTCATAAATTAATCCTTTAATTTTCAGTAAGTTGTGTCTATATGAGGATTAATGTAACAAAAAACATGCTTCTCATTCTCATGGTAAAATGCCCATAAATAGTATTTGACATTGGCCTTAATTCCACATGCTAGATAAATCTGGATAACAATATTTACATATGTAAAATTAAACCACCCAAAACCACAATACCACTTCACACCCACTAGGATAACTATTATCCAAAAGAACAGAAAGTAAAAGTATTGTCAATAATGTGAAGAAACTGGAACTCTTGTGCATTGCTGGTAGGAATGTAAAACGGTACAGCCACTGCTGAAGACAGCATGGCAGATCCTCAGAAAAAACAAATGGAACTAACACATGATCCAGCAATTCCACTTCTAAGTATATACCCCAAAAAACTAAAGTAGGGACTCAAATAAATATTTGTGCATAGCAGCATTATTCACAATAGCAAAAAGGTAGAAATAACCCAAAAGTCCATCAACAGGTGAATGTATAAACAAAACATAGTATAGGCATACAGTGGAATATTATTCAGCCTGAAAAAGGAATCGAAGCTGGGCATGGTGGCTCATACCTGTAATCCCAGCATTTTGGGAGGCCAAGGCGGGCAGATCACCTGAGGTCACCAGTTCAAGACCAGCCTGACCAACGTGGACCAACATGGAGAAACCCCGTCTCTACTAAAAATACAAAATTAGCTGGGCATGGTGGCGCATGCCTATAATCCCAGCTACTCGGGAGGCTAAGGCAGGAGAATCACTTGAACCTGGGAGGCTGAGGTTGCGGTGAGCTGAGATCACACCACTGCACTCCAGCCTGGGCAACAAGAGCAAAAAAAAAAAAGGAATCAAATTCTGATACATGCTACAAACATGTATCAGGCTAGAAACACTGTGCTAAGTGAAATAAACCATGCAAAAAAGGACAAATATTGTATGATTCCCCTAATGCGAAGTACTAGAATAGTCAAATTTGGAAAGAAAACCCAAATGGTGGTTGCCAGGGACTAGGAGGAGGGAGAAATTAAGACTTATTATTAGGAACAGTTTACAGTCTCAGTTTGGGAAGATGAAAAGTTCTAGACATAGATGGTGGCAATGGTTGCATAACAATGTGAACATAATTAATGCCACGGAACTGTACACATAAAAACTGTTAAAATGGACAACTTTCGAGACCAACATGGCCAACATGGTGAAACTCTGTCTCTACTAAAAATACAAAAAATTAGCTGGAGGTGGTGGTGCACACCTGTAATCCCAGCTACTTGGGAGGCTAGGGCAGGAGAATTGCTTGAACCCAGGAGACGGAGGTTGCAGTGACCTGAGATCGTGCCATTGCACTCCAGCCTGGGCGACAGGGTGAGACACCATCTCAAAAAAGAAAAGGTCTACTTTATTTTAAAAGTAAAATAAAAAGATGTACTTTTAAAGGGAATAAATTGTCATTCAAAAATATTTTTAAAACTCTACTTTCACAGTAGGATACTTCAAATGTTAAAGCTCTGAAAATTCCTAAGTAAAACCAGGTGTTTTGTCCACTCACACCCCAGGAAATCCAAGGCAAAAATACACCCAAAAAAAGGGGGGACAGAATTTTGTTTATACTTCAATTAATTTCATTTTATTATGCTACATACATAACTTGGTTCAGTAAAAGATGTAAGAGGAAAAACAAACATCAAGCCAAAAGAACTACTATCAATCTCCCTAATAAGTCAAAGGACTATATTAACCACAAAATGTTAATTCTATTATTACGAAGGCAGTGTAATTCAAAATTGGTTTTATAAGTTTGGGTTTTTAATGTATAAATATTGAATGTTATATTTAAACTAAGGACTGCACGATTATTTTAGTTATATTGGCCCCCTTTAAAAAGTTGTAATGGGCCGGGTACAGTGGCTCACACCTGTAATCCCAGCACTCTGGGAGGCTAAGGCAGATGGATTGTTTGAGCCCAGAAGTTCAAGACCAACCTGGGCAACCTCATCTCTATTTTTTCAAAAAAAATTCTTAAAATAAATAAATAAAACAAAAAGTTGTAATGGATGAAAAAACATGTAACAGTTTTTAAATGTATACATGGTTCTTACAGATTGACATGGTTTGACAGCACAGTCCCTTCTTCCACACTGGCTGATGTCATTCCAGAAAGGACATGGTCTCTTCAGGTTTACCTGTAAAATAGTAATAGGAAAAAAAATGATAAAAATCAGAATCCCAAAATTATAATTGCCAGTTACAAATTATGGTGCTATAACTTGGTCACGTTATCAATTGCAAACGTATTATTTCTTCCACCTTCTGTTGCCAGTTTCCAACAACTGCATAAATGTGAAGCTGGTATAAATTGGTAAACTTGGTTAGAAAGACACAGACTGGGCCAGGAGCGGTGGCTCATGGCTGTAATCCCAGCACTTTGGGAGGCCAAGGCGGGCAGACCACCTGAGGTCAGGAGGTCGAGACTAGCCTGGCCAATGAGGAAAAACCCCATCTCTACTAAAAATACAAAAATTAGTCGGGCATGGTGGCAGGTGCCTGTAATCCCAGCTACCTGGGAGGCTGAGGCAGGAGAATTGCTTTGAACCAGGAGGCGAAGGGTGCGGTGAGCCGAGGTTGCACCACCACACTCCAGCCTAGACAACAAGAGTGAGACTTCGTCTCAAAAAAAAAAGGACACAGATTGGGTTGGGCATGGTGGCTGACGCCTGTAATCCCAGCACGTTGGGAGGCCAAGGCAGATGGATCACCTGAGGTCAGGAGTTCAAGACCAGCCTGGCCAACATGGCAAAACCCCATCTCCACTAAAAATATAAAAATTAGCCGGGTGTGGTGGCAGATGCCTGTAATCCCAGTTACTCAGGAGGCTGAGGTAGGAGAATTGCCTGAACCCGAGAGGTAGAAGTTGGCATGAGCAGAGATCACGCCACCGCACTCGAGCCTGGGCGACAAAGCAAGACTCGGTCTCAAAAAAAAAAAAAAAAAAAAAAAAAAAAAGACACTGACTGCCATTAAATAGACCCTGAACAGAGGGCAACTAGGAACCAAAGTAGCTCGACTCACATTCTTTTCAAACAAGAAACAGTTAAGAGATAGAGAATAGACAATTGTAAACTCTGACTACAACTAAATACTCCATTGGTCAGGTTTTCTAAACTCTTCTAGTAGATATCTCAAGATAAAACAGCACAAGTCATTTGTTAAAATAATATAGGTCAGGATAAAGTCATGATTCTACAAAAAATATTTAATTATTTTAATTAATTGAAACCAATCTGATGTTTTAGAAAATTATGATCTCACCATTTTGATAACAATATATAATAATTTCTGTCCTAACTTAAATTTAACCAACTAGGTTCTAACTCAATTGTGTAAAATTCAGTTACTAAAATTATCCAATGGATGGTTTCAGAATCACATGGTTCACTCTTATGAACTGAATTTTCTTTTTTTTTTTTTTTCTTTTTTTTTTTTTTGAGACGGAGTCTCGCTCTGTCGCCCAGGCTGGAGTGCAGTGGCCGGATCTCAGCTCACTGCAAGCTCCGCCTCCCAGGTTCCCGCCATTCTCCTGCCTCAGCCTCCCCAGTAGCTGGGACTACAGGCGCCCGCCACCTCGCCCGGCTAGTTTTTTGTATTTTTAGTAGAGACGGGGTTTCACCGTGTTAACCAGGATGGTCTCGATCTCCTGACCTCGTGATCCGCCCGTCTCGGCCTCCCAAAGTGCTGGGATTACAGGCTTGCGCCACCGCGCCCGGCCATGAACTGAATTTTCTTAACAAAGCCTATATCAATTTTAATTAACAACTACAATGTTGAAGCTCAGTAATTCTTAAGAAAATGTAATTATCCATTTAAAGCATTCATATATAAAAAAATTAAAATTAAAAATACCTTGTAATATCTAAAGTAGTCACTTTCGAGAAGTTTTTGTAGTCTTGGGAAAAGCCTGTAGTTATTAAATCTATCAATAGTTTCAACGTCACAGGTACAATCATCCAAGTAACCACTAACCTGTTACAAAGAAAATGAAATATTAAATTGAAATGTCCTAAATGCAACAGGGTTCTTTTTCCTCACGTGGTTATTAGGAAACAGCCCCCTATACAACCAATCCTTATCCTCCCTCCTCCCACATAGTTTCTTGAGATGGGGTATGACAATAATCTAGTAATACTGCTGCTCTTGCTATATACTGAGGAATGGATTGGATACTTCTGTAAGGTGTGCAGAGCTCATCTCACACACACACACACACACACACACACACACACACACACAGAGTTGGTCCCCTGGCAACCATTTATTTTGTAACTCTGCCATCCAGGCCATAGTTGACCTGACCAAGGGTAGGCATCTAACTCAAACCAGGTCATAGTCCCCCTCCAGGATCCTAGAATTGAGAATAACAGGGAAAGATGTCTCCCTGTGGCAAGACCAGTAAACAAATACTCCATCATGTGAACTGAGGAGCACATGAGCCAGATGGCAGAGAGCAGAAAAGTTTTAAAAGATACACAAAGCTTGATTGTGTTTGGAATTCTTGGGGGGAAAAAAAGATACACAAAGAAGCAGAAGTAGGAGATAGAGAGAAAGTACATGCTACTTGGATATCTGAGGGATTTCCAGCTCCCACTTCCCCTTCTTTTCTGAGGCACAGCTGCATTCCCATCCTTAGCTTTCAGTAAAGATCTAACAACCCTCAAATAATAGGCTGTAACAATTTCTTAAAGGTTTGGAATGGTGCTTAGAAACTACTTATCATTAGTAACAATGAAACAGCAAACTGACCTCAAAGTCAGTCTGCTCTTCAAATTTTTAAAGCTAATATCTCAACGATATGTACTAAATCAAGCTATTAAATGCGCATATCCTAGGATACAATGGTAATGATAATAAATATTATCAGTTATGAAACTAGAATTCTTTTTTTCTTTTTTTCACCAGTGTTACTTGCCAAATTAAACTAAAATTCTTAGGTGTTTATTTGAGCTAGAAAAACATCTAACAGAATTAAAGATTGCTTTAAGAAACAAATACGATTCCAAAAATAAAAACAAACCTAGAAAAAAAATGTTACATATAGCATGCTCCAGAAAAGAGATATTTATCATACTCTGGTCTAGATATTTGCATTTTAATCTACTTTGGATTATATTTTAGGAGGATCTATTGCCTAGAAATAAATAATTTAAAAATCTACTGACAAGGAAGCAAATCAATAATACTCTATTGAAATACTGAATTAAGATTCAGTATTTTAGAATACTGTAAAATCCTAAACTTTAATTTGAGAATATGACAAAAGAGTAATGGAAATTTTTCACCTAAAAGAAATAAGAATACTTTGGATGACAACAGCAATATTCAAGAGGAACTTTTTACTGCTTTTCCTATTCTTACTTGTTTTGGACTAATTCAGTTTCTAGAAATCTGATCTACATATTTTGTCATGTAATAACTATTTTCATTCCATATGCAAATTTGTCCTTGTTTCCTACTAAAAATTCTCTGAATACACAAGAATCTCAGAGTCCTAATTTTGGATACCAACAACACAAAGTACTTTTAACCTAAATGATTTGATTTTTCAAACTTTCTTTTGAACTTTAAGAGCAGAACTTCTAGGGACAAAAAAACAGCTGTTTCTCCTCTTTGATACGAATTATTATACAAAGAATGACAGACACAGAGACTGCAAAGGCCAAAGGGACATATGCAAAGTAGAGACATTAAGTTACAAAAAGAAATACATGAAAAACTTGAGAGCAAGTTTCAAGACATCCATTCTTCCCCCAGAGGAATTCATTTTTAAGGTAAAAAAAATCTTCAAGACTCAACTCAGTATCACCTTTTTCAGCAAGCTGTCCTTCCAGTACTCCTTACCACCCGCTGGGTTACATGCCTCTTCCAGCTGCTCCCAGGTCACTCCATACACTATTATCTAAGTATTACTGTACCTCAGCAGTGAATTTATCTATTTGGCTCCTGCCCACTAGAGTATAAAATCCTTGAGTGAAAAATCATATACTTCCAGAAAGCACACAGTAGATGCTCAATAATTATTTGTGGCCTGTAATCCCAGCACTCTGGGAGGCTGAGGCGGGAGGATCACTTGAGGTCAGGAGTTGGAGACCAGCCTGACCAACATGGTGAAGCGCCATCTCTACCAGAAATATAAAAATTTGCCAGGCATGGTGGCCCATGCCTGTAGTCCCAGCTACTTGGGCGCCTGAGGCAGGAGAATCACTTGAACCCAAAACGCAGAGGTTGCAGTGAGCCAAGATTGCACCACTGCACTCCACTGCACTCCACTGCACTCCAGCCTTGGCAACAAAGTGAGATCCTGTCACAAATAAATTATTATTATTAATTATTATTATTATTTGTGGAAGACGTGGGTGAATACATGAATGTTGTCCATTGGCACTCATCACTGGGGACCAGCACCATACCGTCTCATTAAACATATCTAGAACCATGTCACCTATGGTATGCTCAGTGCCCCAGAGTACACAAGCACAGGGGCAGAAACACACATAGCAAGTAAAGCAAGCAGCAAAGGTAAACACCTTTTGTGTCCATCATTCTTCCTATCTCTATCCTCATTACAAAGGAAGCTCTAAGAAGCCCCAAACCAGAAAGAAATGCAAAAATCCTCCAGAGCAGAGGTGGCATATAGCCAAGAGACCTCAAAGGGAAAGGAGGCAGGATAAATGGTAGATTTTAAAATGTTCTTGGCCGGGCGCAGTGGCTCACGCCCGTAATCCCTGCTTTGGGAGGCCGAGGTGGGCGGATCACGAGGTCAAGAGATCGAGACCATCCTGGCCAACACGGTAAAACCCCGTCTCTACTAAAAAAAATACAAAAAATTAGCCTGGCGTGGTGGTGGGCGCCTGTAGTTCCAGCTACTCGGGAGGCTGAGGCAGGAGAATGGCGTGAACCCGGGAGGCAAAGCTTGCAGTGAGCCGAGATGGCGCCACTGCACTCCAGCCTGGGCGACAGAGCGAGACTCTGTCTCAAAAAAAAAAAAAAAAATTAGCTGGGCATGGTGGCGCATGCCTGTAGTCCCAGCTACTCAGGAGGCTGAGGCCAGAGAACCGCTTGAACCTGGGAGGCAGAGGTTGCAGAGAACCAAGATCACACCACTGCACTCCCGCCTGGGCGACAGAGCTAGACTCGGTCTCAAAAAAAGAAAAAATGTTCTGCCCCTTCTGAAATACGGAGTACAACCACAGGTGGCAGGGCAGCTAAGGGAGTATAATAAGGGTGGCAGGAGTTTCAATGGATGAAGACAGTTCAGTAAAGAAAAGACAGGAAGATTCTCGGAAATCCATGCCATCTGACAGCTCAGATAAGCCTGCCAACCTGATCCCTGGGAGAGAGTCTGGCAAAGATGGTGGCAGGATCAGTTCTAGAAACCAGAGAACAAAGCATAGTTACTAGAATAGAATCTCAGTCAGGCAGTGGCTCACGCCTGTAATCAGCACTTTGGGAGGCTGAGGTTGGTAGGTCTCTTGAGCCCGGGAATTCCAGACCAGCCTGGGCAACACGGTAAAACCCTGTCTCGGCCAGGCGCAGTGGCTCACGCTTGTAATCCCAGCACTTTGGGAAGCCGAGGAGGGCGGATCACAAGGTCAGGAGATTGAGACCATCATAGCTAACACAGTAAAACCCCGTCTCTACTAAAAATACAAAAAATTAGCCGGGCGTGGCGGCGGGCACCTGTGGTCCCAGCTACTGGGGAGGCTGAGGCAGGAGAACGGCGTGAACCCGGGAGGCGGAGCTTACAGTGAGCCGAGATCACGCCACCAGCGGGGCGACAGAGCGAGACTCTGTCTCAAAAAACAAAACAAAACAAAACAAAAAAACCCTGTCTCAACCAAAACTACAAAAAAAAAACAAAAACAAAAAAAACTTAGCCAGGCATGGTGGCATACGCCTGCAGTCCCAGCTGCTTAGGAGGCTGAGGTGGGAGGATGGCTTGAGCCTGGGAAGTCGAAGCTGTGATGAACTGAGATTGCGCCACTGCACTCCAACCTGGGCAATGGGAGTAAGACCCTGTCTCAAAAAAACAAAAACAAAAAAACAAAAAAAGAGTAGAGCTTCAGGAAAGGGCTAAGGTAAAATACAGTTAATAGACACAGAACAGGATCCTGGAAACAAAGCAATATCCTATTACCTCAACTAAGACCAAAGACAGGTGCCAACTTGGAACACGGAGGACTGGATGTTGTTTGAGGAAGTGCTAAGGCTGCCTAAATAACTACTAAATGGAACAAAGGTAAGGTGGAAAATAACTACTACACTATATCCCAAGGTGAAACAGAACTCTAACCTACCATAGGAATCTAAATTTTTTTTAAAAGCTAATGTGTTTCAAAGGTTAGTATCCTAACGTTTGAGGTTCACTGCTCTAAGCTTCAAGTAATGACAGCTTTTGGTAGAGGGCCAATCTAATAAGCAGAGATAAGAAGGCCCCAGTTGAGGGACGATAAATAGGAGGACCAAGGTAGGCCTGACACCTTAACATGGACCACTTCAAAATTCTAGCCTTTGGTCAGGCATGGTGGATCACACCTGTAATTCCAGCACTTTGCGAGGCGAAGGCCAGAGGGTTGCTTGAGTCTGGGAGTTTGAGACCAGCCTGGGCAACACAGTGAGGCCTTATCTCTACAAAAAAATAAAATAACTAGCCAGGCATTGTGGTGCACGTCTGTAGTCTCAGCCACTTAGGAGGCTAAGGTGGGAGAATCGCTTGAGCCAGGGAGGTCGAGGCTGCAGTGAGCCATAATCATGCCAATGTACTCCAGCCTGAATGACAGGGCAAGACCTTGCCTTAAAAAAAAAAAGTCCTAGTCTTTTTAAGAGTTAGAGAGCCTTGGAAGGCTTTCTATTACAACCGCCCAAGCAAAACGGAAAATGCCTCTATTAATATCCCTCAAGGAACAGGCAGTGTGTAATAATAGTGTGTACATTCTAACATCAGACCTCCTTAGGTTTGAATCCCATCT